GCACACCCAGCCCACTCAGTTACTACTCAGTTAACCCCATCAGGGGTCAATTCACGGATTGAGTGAAGACTCTCCTAACCCAATCAATTCTCCTCTGAAYTTTCTTGCATTGTCACATACGTGAGCTTTTGGAGGACCCCTCACATCCAAATCATTACACTCCTTGATCTTCTTCTGCCAGCTACTGTTCTGAATGCCCTCTAAGGAACACTCCTAAGTGTCACAGTGCCATTCCTCCACTTTCTCCTTTCTTCCACCTAAGGTGTTAAGGACCCAGAGCCATCACAGAAGACCCTGCTCTGCTGGGTGATCACAGCCTAGTGACTGCCTTCCCTATTCCACCTCCCTGGCCCTGAAACCTGGGATCTTCCTGCCTGGACACACACACACACACACACACACACACACACACACACACAGCAGGGCCAGGTGTCTGTCTCTCACAATAAATTCCTGAGACACTAATTAATGTTCTTGGAGAAAGTAAACCATTATGTTTAATATCAGGCGTTAGGGATCCAGAAAGATCTGGGTTGGAATTTCAGTGTAGACACATGTTGTGTGACTAGGCAACTCATGTAACATCTTTTTTTGATACTGGGGATTGAACTCAGGGGCACTCGACCACTGAGCCACATCCCCAGCCCTCTTTTTGTATTTTATTTAGAGACAGGGTCTCACTGAGTTGCTTAGTGTCTTGCCATTGCTAAGGCTGACTTTGAATTCACGATCCTCCTGCCTCAGCCGCCTGAGCCATGGGATTACAGACRTGCACCACTGCGCCCGGTTAACTCATGTAACATCTTTAAGCCTCATTCTTTAAAAGAGGGTATATCAATTCTTATTTCATAGGATAGTTGGAATAATTAAAGGAGACATGTACACAGCACTTAGCAAGGCTAAGTAAGCAATGAATAAATGAAAAAGATGATTGATGTTTTATACTAACACTCGMTCTCTGCTCACCTTCTTTCCCTCTGCCTATTTTTCTTCTCTACCTGATAAAATAAGTTGCTTTATAGAGACATAAGCCTTCTGTTTTCATGTCCAATATTTCAAAGTCAGAATTCTTATAGAAACATTCCAACCTCGGGAACATACTGGTGAACTACCAAGAATGAAGACAGAAGGCAAGCAGTCTAGACTCTAATAGTACTCTGTGGCTAACAAGTCAGGCAATTTGGGGCACGTCATTGTCCCTCAAGGGCCATCAATTTCTTCTGTAAAAGAAAGACGTGGTTTTAAGATGGACTTATAGATCCCTTTCGATTCTTACACGATCTAATCTCTACGAAAAAGTGATTCTGAACTGGGTACAGCGGCACATGCCTCTAATCCCAGGGGCTCTGGAGGCTGAGACAGGAGGATCGCGAGTTCAAAGCCAGCCTCAGCTAAGCAAYTCAGTGAGACTCTGTCACTAAATAAAATACAAAATAGGGCTGGGGATGCGGCTCAGTGGACAAGTGCCCCTCAGTTGTTCAATCCTCTGTACTAAAAAAAAAAAAAAAAAAAAAAAAAAAGAGTAAATTATTTTATTTGTTCTTAAGAACCTTGACTGGTTTGTTTTCGTTTTCTTCTGAGACCACTATCTTGCCTCACATTTTTTTTTTCCACCTACAAAGTTTGTGGAGTTGGTCACTCTAGCTCTGGATTTCAGCATCATCATGTGGTTTTGGGTCAGTAATTTAACTCCCTGAGCCTCCRCGACTTCATCTATCAAAATGGGAAAAAAAAAATGAGGTAGATATGAAGCTGAAAAGAAATCAAACACCTAGAAATATATTACGCAAATGCTGTTTTCTGGTGCTGTAGGGCATTAACAAATTTTGTAACTTAGCCAGATCATTTCAGAATGTCTTTCCTGGTAGATTCTGAATACCATTACCATCTCATTCCCTCATTATTTAATGAGTTATACAGAATCTTTCACATGTGTTTTATTCTATCTTTTATATGAGAATCATGGTTTTTTTTTTTTTTACTTTTTGAAATTATTCTTTGACATAACTAGCTCTACCTTAAGACACCTTTCCTGATAGATGGAGACTGCAAAGCTGGTTTGCTAGAAATGCTGATTGTTGTAGAAAACAAYAACAACAACAAAAGGTTTGTATTTTTATACTTTCTGCTCCCCTTTTCCCTGTGTCAGTTTGGGGGAGAGGGTAGAGAGAAATCCCTTGGAGGAATCTTTACTACCAGAAAGAAAAAATAASCAAGAAGCAAGATGAGCCTAGTAGAGATACTTTCACTGTGGCCTTTACATTTATGACTAGCAAGATAATGAAGGAAGGTAATTCTGAAAGCTTTATGTCAGTTTTAACGGTCCCTCAAGCACTGAGAAAGAGAATAGTCAATGGCTGGTGTCCATAAGGATTTTTTTCTCCTTCTCCCCTGACAGCCATTGACAGGATCATTTTGTATTTGCAACTGCTGTCACTGAAGCGTRGAGAAAAGGCCCTGTAAGGCCAGGAGGATGAGGGCAACTTCCCTRCAAGGATCTCTATTGTCATCACTATGGCAATAATGGTTACTATAATTTTCATCCTGCTTTTCTATGGAGTGTCTACTTTGTGGAGCTTAAGGCTATGGGATTTGGGTCACATAAAATCACACTAGCACAGAAGCATGCTTTGTAATCTTGCAAGAGTATTTTATAAAACTGCAAAGGGATACTATGCAACAAGAATCAAATAATTACCAATGCAGGTCACTTGACTAATACAATTATTTATGGGATGCTAATAGCTTTTCGGAGGCTCTCAGATTCAGCCTCCATTTGACAGCCATTCTTTTTCCTCTCTCTGTTTGGATKGCCAGACCACTACCAGTTTTTCTCCCCAAGGACAGACAGAGCTTATGATTTGAGGTTGGGGAGATTAAATTAATTGCAAGTTAGTTCTCAGAAGTCTGCTGGTAGTTTCTCTTTATTATCCACAATTAAACCACACGAACAGGAGTCATGCCTTCGATTCCACTAATGCACACCCTCATCTCCTCGCCCCACACTGTGCACACGGTTAAATTTTAGTGATATGGGGACATCAAAGCCTTCTAAAGTAAGATTCTGAAGAAAGGGCCCTTTGTGAACCAAGCGGGACAAGAGGCCCACGTGTGATCAAATGTGAGATGTAAAAAAAAGCTCTGAGAGGGGCTTCTAGGAGGGAAGAGAGACAGGTGGAGACAAAAGGAGGAGGGTGGCGAAAAGAGGAGACACACAAAAAGAAACAAAGCCAGTGACTGAACTGAACRGGCTAAAAAGAGAAGAATAATAGAAAAATGCAGATAAAAAGAACTCAAAACCAAGGCGAGCGGCCGCGCGGGAGGAAGGCGAGCACGCKCGGCAGCGCGGGGACTACAGCCCCCAGGATCCCTTGCGGCGCCGCGCCCCCGGCGTTAGTCTCCTAGGCAACTCCGCCAAACAAGATGGCGGCCTCCGAGGGAGGTCCYCAGGGACCGAGAGCGCCTTCTCTCCAGAGAGCCTTCAACAGTTTACGAACTGGATCCCCGTCGGTGATGCTGCACTCAGAAAAAGGGCGCTATCCTTGTTGGTCTTCTTTCCCCATGGGGCAGAAACAGAAAAGCACTTTCAGCAAAGACTCCTCCTACCTTCTCCAGCAGCTCATTCACCGCTACCAGGAGTCGGAGGCGGAAGGAGAAGACTACCAGGGCGAGCCCGAGGGAGAAGGGGAATCCGAGGAGTCCTCCGAGTCCGAAATGCTGAATTTGGAGGTGTGCCTTCTCCCCTGCCCCTCCCTCCCTGCCTCCCTCTCCAGCCGTCAGGCCCTGCCGCTGCCTCGGCGGCTCCCCGCGCACCCCTCACCAGCCCCGGGCTCGGCCCTGCACCCGGGCTCCAGCGCCCCTTCAGGAGGGCGCAGAGTCCCGCTCTTCGCTTCTCATTTCTGTTACCCGTTTCTCCACCCGCTGCGTGAACTATCACCAAACATCTTTCTTTTTCGTTGACGTATTTGATTTCTTAGGAGTCAAGTTACATATAGCATCGTTACGAAAAGAAGTATGTATTTGAATGAGGGTTAGGGCTTTAACGTTTTCAAAATCACACCTGGACAAAATGATTGCCTTATTGTGAACAGGCAGAATTCATCTCTGGCTTCCCCAGCAGCTGACCTGTTTCCCGGGACTGTGTGAAGTACGCTCGCACTTTCCCCCGGGTTGTGGGGTTACTCTCTTGAAGTAATCTAAGTGCTCCCTCAAACACTAAGTGACTTAAAATGACTTAAAACTTTCATGTATTACTGCCAGGGACATATGCCTTATGTGAGTGAATGAGGCGGGGGAGGGGGGGGGAGAGGTGAAAAGTGTAGAATGTTCAAACATCCAGCTTACTGGGGCGTATTTCACCAATGTGCAGAGCCTTCCCAACATTTTCACCTATATTACYTGGAGCGGTGGCTTCACCTTTCACATCAATACAAATTCCCTTCTCTACAATACTTCTTTTGTCCATCTCCCAGTTTCTTTCTTCCACTAGCTTCCTGTTCCCCTCTTAGCCTTCTTGTTCCTTTTYATTTCTCATCAGATCATTTTCTTCTCTTGGCGTCTAATAAATTCTTTACTTTTTTTTTTTTTTTCGAAAACAAACGGAGTTGTTTTCTTTTCAATACACAGTTAGGTTTCCCCTCTTGGTTTTGGCTACCAGGAGACTCAGAATCAATATTTTTCCTAATTTCAATAATTTTCTTTATATTTTCTTTCCCTTTTCCTCTTCCTTCWTAATATAAAGTGCTTCAGATTCTTTTTAGAAGTACACATAATAATTGGAAATAGAATGTTTCCAATATCTCCATTCTGTGTATTCTTCTTRCTTTCCCTCTTAGCATCTTTGTGTCTTTCCCTAGTCACTGTTCTTCCTTGGAGCTARACATGTTTCTCTGTTAATGACTGTTCCCTTTCACAAACTCCTTCCTTTRTCTTATTTCTTCTCATTCTCCCCTCTCTAGCCTGCATATTACTGACTCTACTATTAACTGTTCACATTCTTCCTTCACTTGGGTTCCTCTTCTTTAGTAATGTCCTTTTTCTATTCACTTTGAACAATTGGCAGTGTTTTCCAACTTTAATCCCCCATTTTATTTTTCTTCTTCTACTTCTACTTATGCTAGTTAGCACTTTAGTCTTGCTTAATAAATTGATTGTAGAAAGTTATTACTTTGTTCATATTTTGTTGATTTACTTTGTTTGCCACCTTTAACAATAACTGTTGCAAAACTATAGCAGTGTTTTTGCAACTTTGAAATGTTTGTATGGTTTCCACCAGCTTCCATCCCAGAGGAATTCACAAATGAACCACCAGTATACTTTATTATTCTAATTAACACATGCTCTTCAGCTATGGGGTTCATTAGTACCAATGTTAATCTGTCTTCAGTATGCCATTAACAAGCCATAGAAGGAGTTGACTTGAACTAGTTATTCCTTTTCGGCTTGTAGAATGTGTTTAGAAAAAGTTCATTATTTCTTCCATTTATGTTCGAAGCATTAATATTTATTTTGGGTCTTCACATTCTATTTTGACTTTTCATAGTATTGTTTAAATTTTAATGTGCTGAATGAACTAAAAAGTTTTAAAAAGAAACATTTGGCCATTCATTCTCCATGATTTATTTTCCATGTCTTAGCCTGATTGAGTTGTAATGCTAACATGGTCACAATGACTATTGAGTGCCTATCATTGCAATTAGCCTCAAATTTCAGAAGCCCTTATGAATTTAAGGGAAGCAGTGCAGTCCAGCTTTTGGAATGACAGATTTGTGTTTGAGGTTTGGTTTAGTGTGAGATCTTGACCAAGTTACTTAACCTCTTTCTGACTCATGCATAACATGATGATTATATTAAGGGAATTGTGAGAATTAAGTGAGATGCTATCTGTAAAATGCTTAGCCTAATATATCACTTATACTTTGTAAATAGAATAAAGTTTTACATGTTTTTATCTGCTTAGTAGAGTCTATTAAGAGGTTGTGTGTGTGGTGCTGGGGATTGAACCCAGGGCCTTGTGCATGTGACATAAGCACTCTACCAACTAAGCTGTATCCCCAGCCCAAGGTTTTAATGAGTTTGACCTTCATCGAACAAACATCAATGAGATGATTGCTATATAAGAAGCCCTCTGACTGTGTAAAGCAGAAATGTCAGGTCCCCAAATCTGATGCATGAAAACCACACTTTGTCTGTAACTGAATGTGGGTAACAATGCCTACTCATGGGATAGTTATGAACACCAAATTTAATGAGAGACTCTATTAAATATGATACAACATAATTAACTATAACAAAATATAATAAATATAAACAATAAAGTGTATAGCATAGGATCTCAAGAAATTAAAGATGCAGTAAATAATAGCAACAGTAATGGTAGAGGGAGGTGAGAAAATGATGGAGGACATACATGATCTCTGCTCTGGAAGTGAGGTGAGCATGTGAGTGAATCCTAGCACTCAGCCTCTATTGGATCATACACCATATCTCCTGTTTGGTGAAAGGTGTGCGCGGAGCAGCTTCCTACTGAGGGTTCCAGGTGAGAGCAGACGCAGCAGCCATGGCAGGGCCAGTGTGGAGGGCTCTCTGCTGCTGCACAGACTTGATACTCTAAGCAGTGGGGAACTGTCTGACAGCCAGTTGGGGTTAGATGAGAGGTTGGTAAGACGGTAAGAAGATTCTAGCAGTGTCTAGAAGAGTCTGGATTAAGGCAATGGCAGTGGGAATGAAAAGGAAGGTAAAGAGGAAAGGTTGCAAGATATTTAAGCTGGGATAGTTACTAATTGAATGTCAGTGGTCTGGGATGAGTGCTGGGCCTACGGGTCACCATCACCATAGGAATCAGGGACAGGTGGAGCTGTGCATTAAGGAGGTAGATCTAGGAGCCAAATGACTGAAAATCAGGGGAGTGGTCTCAGAGTAGATGACTTGGGGACATTTTGCATGGGAGCCTATGAGGCCATCAGGGAAGACAAGGGAAGGGAAGGGAATGACCAGGAACAGAATCCTAGGGCTATAGTAATTTTAGTGACAGGCAGAGGAAGAAGAATCAAGGAGTGAAAGTGGAAAAGGCTGGTCAGAGAAGTAGGAGAAGAAAGAAGAGCTATATAATGGGGAACCAAGGCAAGGAAGAGTCTCAGGAACGTGGACGTAGGTTCTGCCACTGATGGATTATGGGGGAAGAGGCCGGTAGAGTTCTCATTCTCTTTGCTTATCTGAGGAAAGCATGGTAGGGCCAAATTATGGGAACCTCAAAGGACATGCGAGGAGGTTGCTGGGCAGTCTTGCCTGGGGAATCTGGGGAAATGCCTACAGAGTGGCCCATCTCCCTGTCACAGTGACCTCAAAAGACAGGCATCTACCTACTGTAGGAAGGATGGAATGGCATCCCATTTTCAGGGAATGGGGGTATGATGGGACAGATGAACTTAAGCATCCAGGTAGAAAGTTTGGGACAGGAGTTARTATTCTCCTGTCTCCATTCCTTCCTGGGCCTTACAGAAGACATTGCCACTCTATTTAGAAAGAAATAGCTTCCCTTTTGTGAACAGGTTGGTTGGTATGGATGAGTGAAATATTAAGATGTGGAATTTCTGACATCAACCAAATACAGCAGCTGTCATTTAGTGGGGACACTTGCTGGGTTCCAGGCACTACACTAAGAATGTTATATACGTTCTTTTTTCATTCTCCCCCAAACACTAGACACAGGAGAGGAAAAGCTTTCCCTCCTACCTTCCAGGTTTGATAGCARGGCCTATGAGATAAGCTGACAACAGGTAGATGAACTGGAAATCAGCATATAGATTTATCAATTTTAATATTACATGTGTGGGGGCATCATAGGAACTAACCAAAGGGAATACCCTCCCCCAAACAGTGAGATTTGAGAGTTTAAATGYCGTGTTTACAGGGGAAGGGGAGGAGGCTGTAGGCCACTTAGAGGAGAGTGAATGCTTTTCAGGAAAGCTGCAGGGGCTCTTGCAGAACCCAGGAGGTAAGCTAGCTGTGACAAAGTGTGGTGTCAGCTYTCTTCTCCTCTCCTGTGAGAAGGGTCAGTCTTCTCTGGTTGGAGCAACTCCCAGGGARGGATTCATGACAATTGAGTTCCTTCGGGAGGATCTGTCTTTAGTAGATAAAGGGAATTTGGAGAGCGCCCCTCCTTGCCTGTGCTGTTTTTCAAGTACCTTTAGCTCCAAACAATCCATATACCAAAGCAGCATACTTTGGAGTGGCATGTCCAGAACTCCTTCAAAGAAAAGAACACTTCCTACTAATAAATGAAGACATAAAACTCTGYGAAAACTTGACCTCCCCAAAGTCACATAGCCAAAATGGCAGAACTGTGGTTTGGCCACACCTGCCCAGTTACAAAGCTCGTGTGCTGTCTTCACATGGGCAATATGTGCATGGACCTATTCTCTTGTCCTCAGTATTCCCAGCCTCAGCTGCACTGTGGGCTCCTGAATTAAATGGAAGAYCCAGAAAAAGGATATTTTGCTATTGTGGTTAATATGCTACTCATAGGTACATCAGTGTGACTTACATGGTTACTGTATTTTCTGTTGTGCTTTGCTCAATGTTAATGCATTGGTCATTATGGAATTGAAGTCAGCACAAACATGACACTGACCTGCATGTTAGCTCTTCTGTTGTCATTATTGGGGCARAGGCATTTCTGGCTACCATTTGGTCCATGAGATGTGTATGGATCAAGGATCAACCTCCTTGTGAAAAGGATTGTCATCCTTTAATATACCTTTTACTATATCTTGCAAATTATATTAATCTAGCAAAATTGGCCAATGGGAAGTGAACTGAGGACCTGCTTTCTACAGTAAGAATACCAAATTTAGAGAAATACTTTACTTCATTTGATGTAACCATTCTTTGGGGTGTGGGTAGGTAGTTAAGTATAGAATTGCCGGGGTCAGACAGATTTAGGTCATTTCAGCTCTGTTGCATACTGTCTACAGTTTCATGCAAGGTAACCTCTGAACCTCAGTTTCTTCATCTGTTAGATGGAGGTAAGAATACCTGCCTGAGKATTGATGGAAGGGTGACTGAACTCACACACAGTGCCTGCATTGRGGACCACTCTCTCAGTGGCTGCCATTACTACTGATGGTGGTGCTTCCTTCTACAGCCACTGTGTGTTCACTCAACTTTGAATGCCTAGTACAAGAGAACACCTGAAAAATCAGTGGCAATAAAAATATTAATCTGGTAGATATGTATTTAATTATACCTAGTATGTGTATGTGTTCAACATAGAATTTTCTTTRGGGGTGGTAGGTTGTAGAGGGCACAGGACTGGCTCTATAATATGCTAAATAAATTTTAGATATGACAAGACAAATTGTTTCTTTTCTAATGAGAATCCTTTCTTTGTCTGCCTCTTTGTCATTTTGCAGGAGGAATTTGATGGGGTCCTGAGAGAGGAGGCTGTGGCCAAGGCCCTCCATGAATTGGGGCGCTCAGGCCCGGGGACCGAGCAGGTCTATCTCAACCTGACTTTATCAGTGAGTGTGATGGGATGGTCACTGGCGTGACACTGCCGAGACCAGGTCCATTTTCTTTGGTGCTCAGAGATGTGATGGTGACAGAGAATCTCAGGGCTTAGCATTTGATGAAGATGAATGATGAGATAATTATGTAAATATCAGACTTCAAAGAGCACTGGTCAGGTCAGGCATTAGCTCCCCAATTCCTTCATTTCCAGTCTCTTCACACTCTATTTCTTTCATCTTAAGTAGCCTGTGTTATAGTAATCAATGATTTCTTTCCAAGAAGTTGAATTTGATTCTGTAAAACCAGAATCTTTAAGAATTTTTCTCTCTGATCAGTGAAAGAAGCATTAACATTTATATCTGAATCCACGGGAACCAAGGATTTTGATATTGACTTCCCCTCCTAAGCATGTCAAGAAATAAGTAGCTTTGAGCTATATTTTACTTCTCCCAAAATACCTATCATTGAAGAAAAAAAATCTATTCTTATTCATCACTTTTCAAGATTTCAACCCTAGTCATAGAGTGGCCCAGAGTCTTGGCTCCAGATTCATCCTAGGAGGGGCTGTGGGAGCAGACTGCTCGGAGTTCAGCCTCTTTTCTCATCCTTTTGCCACAGTCCTAGGAATCTCGCTCTTTTTGCTTCCTTATGTGATAAAGCATTAGCTATTCCTTGGAGATCCGCAGAGTAAATACAGATCGTAGGTGAAGACAGCACCTTGACAGTTGACTTCAGCGCCGTGGCCGGCTCACTCATGGCAAGGCCRGTCTGTCTTGGATTTGAATTAGTAAAACTAAAGACTGTTAAGCTGTTTTCACCTGTGCTCATTTCATGGCGTGTCCTTCGAGGTCAGCCTATTAAGGCTGTAATCTTTTACTCTTGTCACTTTATAACATTTATGTAAGACTCAGCCAGCCAGGCAATAACATATGGGGAGCACCCTAGGCTTCTCGCACTGTTAGGCACTGCAATGGCATGATTCCAGCAGCCATTACCTCCCCCCACGGGTCCCTTTCAATCAATATTCTCCTTATGTATGTAGTGCCATGCCTTAAATTGATCTACCAAGAAAAAAAAAAAAGGCAATCCTTTAAATCTTATTTCAACTGAAGGGACTGAAGTTTAACTTATTTTGCCACTGACCTCCTTACATTTGAGATATTGCATGTTGAATTACTTGGCCTTAATAACCTGTCTTGCTGAATACACTTTCTGGTTCAGTGATTCCTCACCTCCCCCAAGTCTCACTTAGGTCACACGTTATTTTTCGCTTTCTCCTGTTACTTGTGTACATATCTTCTCTCCTGCCCAAATCATACATTTCTTAAGGGCCCAATATAGCTCTATTCCATTTCTCATCATGCCAGCTCCCCACAATGATGTCTTACACATAGTAACCATTCAGTATTTATTTATTACTTGTGGAGCAGCCTTTCTTAAACAATTGTTATTCTACATGAGAATTTGCTTACAATGACTTCATTGCTTGTTTGTTTTTTTTTTCTGACTCTGATGATATGACATAAACCAAAAGTGTAAATCATTGTTCCACAGGATCAAATTCCCTAATCTCACTTGGAGTTCCCTAGAAACACCAGTTTCCTAGATCCAATTTTGTGCCAGGACTCAGAAAACTGGAATGCTGCTTCTTTCTACCTGGCTTTGTAATTTCAGGTTACTTACATACCTCTTTGTACCTTTTATTCCTCATCTCTAAATTGGCAATAATCTGCCCTTCAGATCTCAGAGATGTGTTTCATCCTTGAGATTATTGGGAAAGAGCTTTGAAAATGAACCTGTGAAAATGTAGGTAGTATTGTTATTAATGATCTTCCGATTAGACGTGAACTCTCTTTAAAACTTAATTTAAATTCTAGGCATTGCTTTTTCTTCTACTAGATAAAAGCTTTGTCTTTATTGCTATTTTTTTAAATATAAAACTCTGTGCTAAAGGTCTCCACGAACACTGCTTTAATTTGCCTTTTCATGTTGTATTCGTTCTTGCTAATACCACTGTTTTCCTAAGCTATTATTTTTTCCAGAGGAATGTAGTCTTATTATTTTTTTAATGGGGTCTGTTGTCTTTTTTGAGATCCTATTAATAGTAGACCTCAGATTTTGTTTGCGAATTTCTTCCAGACTTTTGAAAGAAATTTGGAAGGCCAAGAACTAACCTGTTAAAGTCTTTTTCACCTTGATTTCCTCAGGGCTGTGATTTAATCGACGTTAGTATTCTATGTGGCTACGTCCACCTACAGAAGTTGGATCTTTCAGCAAATAAAATTGGAGGTATGTGATTGTCATTCTGGTAGATTGATTACTAAATTATTTGAAAATGTAAATGTTGCAGTATGCAATATAGTTTAATAACACTAAGCTTGATATAGTAACTTGTAGCTCAGTTGACATGTTGATCCTTTGCTTTCCACGTCCCCCACCCCAGGCATCAATGACTGAAAATGAAGAAAAAGACTAAAATCTACAATATTAAGATAGGGTTGAGATGCACTCAGTGATGCTTTAGAGAATGAAGTGGAATGTTMACTTTTATCCTTGTAAGAGGTTGATCATTACCTCTTCAATACTTCCTGTATGCTTGATGATTCCCTGTTCTTTACTTCTCTTAGTAATTTAGTACCCATGAATTCATATTTTCTTCCCTCTAATACATTATTTTCTTTGCTTTGCTTTTGCATTGATATTTTAATCCTGGCTAGCTACTTTTATTATTATTTGAGCCCTGGGGATTCACAAATGTATTTTCTCTCTCTTTTGGCTGTCTCTCTGTGTTTATTGATTCTTTCAACTCCATCATTTGTAGTTCTATATATTTGTTATGATACCTTGTTCACATTTAATGAAATTAGTACTACAGTTGTCATATATTTTCAACGCTTGATCCTCCTTTCTGATTTTCTGATCTTATTTGATGTTAACAGTGTGCGCTTTTCCCTTTAAACTCCTAGAGAAGTAAGCAAATCATTATTTCTGACCTGCTTTCTCCACTGATTTTCTTTGTACTTGCTTCTCTTACCTTCTTTTTTTTTTAAAAAAATGACAATTAGAATGTTCCTGATGTGGTCTTCTCTGTTTCATGTTCTTTCTTTGTTAACCCCACGTGTGATTCTAATAATTAAAATCTACCCCTTTCAAGGGCTAAGAAATATTCCAGCCTCTTTTAATTTTTAAAATGCTATTGTTTTAAGAAGACTTTTCAATAAKCTTTGTCAGTCTTTATAAAACTATTGTGGAAAATTACAAACAAGTGCATAAATAGAACACTGGAATGAGTATTGAGGTTCAGTAGTTATCAGCCCATGGCCAATCTTGTTTCATCTATACCTCCCTGTCCCCCTTCCCAGGGTTATGTTAAAGTAAATTCCAGATGATGATTAATCATATCATCAGAAGGACTTTTTGTGTTATGGATAGGAGTGCTCCACCTACCCCATATTTCCAAGATTGATTTCATTTTCTAGATAAGAAATCACAGAGCAGGGGGAGGCTTTGGCCATAGGAAAGTACTTGGCTTTTCAGCAAGGGAAGAGACTTGGCTTCGTATCCTAGCCTTTTGAGCAGAAGTCCACAGTTGAGACCTTCCTCTTCATCTAGACCAGTCTTCTTTGATCCTGTACAGCCCCTTCATTATTCCCATGTGACCATTTGACATTCATCCATTGTTTGAGATCCCACTATGTGTCAACTGCAGTATATTTTTCTATGATGATGTTTATTAAATTTCAGCTTTTATCAGAATCATCTGKGAGGGGGAGGTCTGTTAAAATACAGATTCCTGGGCCCTACCCTCAGATATAGTAGATTTGGGGTGGGATCTGAGAATTCACATTTGGACTAAGCTCCCCTGTGAGACCAGTCCTGCTGGTCCTAGATCAGACTTTGAGAACCACTGATGTAGACATGAGGTGCTCCTGCCATCTGGTGGACAAGGAGGTCACTGCACCGAGTAGGGACCTCTCAGCCTGCTCCTGACCAGGCATTATTTCTGCCACAATGATTTTGAAACATTGACTCTCTCCAGAGTAGGAAATGTCCTCATCATCCCTTTGTGTATATTTAAGTATTTGATGCTGATTCTGCTTTAAGACTTATCTCACTGGTAGCATTTACCTGCCCACAAAAAAGATCTGCTCCAACAGGAGTCTGGGGCCCTGTAGAAGTTCATAGAGGTGAGACCATTCCTGACATGCATCTGGGCTCAGAATGGACAGGTAGAGGCATATMACAGAGCAGTTAGTTACTCCCTAGGTTTCCTCTCACAGGCAGCCTTCCCTGGTTGGTTGATAAATTTCTAACCAAGTGTTTATGTCCTACTGTACCATCTCTCTTAGAACCATTTACATTTAGGGGATGGTTTAGTCCAGAGAAATGAAGTAGAAATTGGTGGATGTTTTCTCATTTCAGTGCCCTTTGAGAAGGAAAGATGACCGGAGGTCCTCTCACACTGCTGCCCATATGCTTCAGGGAAAGGCCCGCTGCCCCATTGTTCTACCCAGTCCCTGTCTCTGCCTGTGTCTGTGCCACCTGGTGAAGGGCAGAAGCACTGCGTGTGGCTTTGGTGTAGAGGTTCCATTCTCCCACTGGGAGCCATGCTCTGAGGGGTTGTAACAGCGCCTTCTGTGCTTCTGAAGGAGGGGGACAGGAGTCGCTGTTCTCGGTACCATTTTCATGTGGAGAAATGAATTACTGGTGTCCACAAGGCCATAACCCTTATTGGGATTCTTCTAGATCTCTTCCTTCTCTAATTCATTCTGCTACCCTGAGTGCATCTGTCACAAAATGGCAGCGAACGGCAAAACAACCAGTATGTTTTATATCTAATTTCCATTAAAGTCTCTATCCACATAGAGTCCTTTACTCTGTATTTGAGTTTGAGGATATTAGCTTGGGAAAAAATGCAAAATTTAGATGTAATTTTGAAACAATCCAGAATAAAAAAAAAATAATAGCAATAATGCTTTTAAATAACTTCAAATAATTAATGAGATTTAGGATTAAGTCCCACTAAAACAAAATTGAATTTACAACAAAGAGAGTTTCCTAATTGTGGCATTTCCAATCTTCTGAAAAGACCTAATTCAGTTATTTAGGGGCTAATTATCAAGAGGATTATCTAAGGCTTTAGTTTCTCATTGTTTCCTCAAAGGCTGGAAATTTTTTGAAGCAGGGAGGCATAAGCAGGTTGTGGGAGAATGAGCAGGAACATGCTTGAGGCCTTGGCCATTGGTGGTCCTGGAAGCAGGGAGAATGGAAGAGGTAGACCAGCCCTGGGAAAAAAAAGGTTAAATTGTTGCTGCATAGAATTTCCACGCTTTTTTTTTTTTTTTTTAATTTCACACACTCCTGGTTTTACCCATTTCATTCATCTGTAATATTTAAGATGTGCTTACGACGAGCATAATTAAAAAATATTCTCAAGTAACATCACTGTTTTTAATGACTTTTTCTCGTTATTCTGTTGGCTTACCTATTCTGTATCTATTTCCCCCAGATTTGTCTTGTGTGAGTTGCATGCCTTATCTTCTAGAACTTAATGCTTCTCAAAATAAACTGACTTCATTCTTCAATTTCAAGCCACCCAAAAATCTCAAGGTACCCTTTATCAATACACTAATTACAYATGTTGCGTGGTTTGCAAAATACATTAAATAAGCAAAATAGCACTAAAATAGAGCATTTGAAAATAATAACATGTAGGAGTAGTATGTCTGAATTGATATAAAAATGAAATATTTGTGAATCATTTATTTTGCAAAAGGGGGATGGACTATCAAAAAGAGAGTTTTTTAAGGAAGCTTTGCTAAAACCTAGTGTTCAAAGGACTAACTTTCTTCTGTTTTCCTCCTGCCCTTTTTTAGATAATTGTCATTGCATTTCATTATAGCAAGTAATTTTTTTTAATATGAAAAATTTTGTATCTGTACAAATTTCCTTGGGGCTCCAACATTTCCCTATTTATTTATCCAACATTCACTTTTTTTGAAAAAGAATGCTTTCAGACCTTCCTTCTTGTTCTCTGGACTTGCTCTTGTACTTCTAAAGCAGAAATGAACTCTCTGTGGTCTGGGGACAGTTTGCTCTGCCTTAGAGGGGCGTGTTTCCTGCTTGCATATGTACCCAAGTCACCTGTGGTTCTTGTGAAGATGAGATTCTGACCTGGCAGGTGGGGAGTGGGACCTGAGACTGTGATTTCTAGCCCCCTTTCAGGCACTGCTGATCCACGGACCCTACTTAGATACGGTCAGAGTGGTGGTTCCCGAACTTTTCTGCCCATTAGAGTCACCTAGGGGAGTTTTAAGAACTACCAAAGCCTGTGTCCCCTGCCAGAGACTGTGCTGACAAATTTGGGAGTCATTGCCACAGAACTTGTGATTAATTTTCTTCTATTGAACTTTAGTATTTAATGAAAAAAAATCTTAAATAATGGACATCAGCTATTGCCTTTTTAAATCTATTCATGCCATCTTATTTACAAGTTCAATTAGATCTCAAGTGTTCTGAGGCTTGCACAAACACGAAAATGTTCTAAATGAATAATCTGACGTTGTCCCTGTCAGTGAGACTCCTTGATTTTCGTCTTTGCTTCATATCACTCCGTTTTTGTCAGTAGTACATTTTCCTGCTTTGAAATTGTAGTTATTCCTAGGGAGCCATTCCTTTGTCCAGATAAGCCACATTAGGTGCGTTTTAGTACTCAGTATTGAGAGCACGGGTCTTGAGGTCACCGAGAAATGTGTTTGCAGAGCTGCTTTGGTTCTCCTCAGCTGCCCCACTCACCTTGCTGTGAGCCCAGGGAAATCAATCATGGCAGCACCAGGCTGTTCCTCCATTCACGCCCYACCTTGCCCCCACCCCCCACAAAAGACTTCACAAACCAACAAAAACAAACCATTTGCCCCATCTTTAAGGTTCCAACTTCCTTGAGCATTAAGAGCAAACATATTGGTGACTTTAGAGACATGTTTGCCAAGTGCCAGCGTGCCCTGACCAGGGCTATCAACCCTGTGTGAGCTCTGTGCAGACCTGGGAAGGAAWGGTTGAGGACTTCCCAGTGTTATCAATGCATCTTCTTATTTGACCCTCCCAATGAAGCTGTGAGCCAGCTGATTCTGTCTCATTTTATAGATCTGGACACTCAAGTACAGAAAGGTTAAGTATCAGCCATTACTGGGAGGTAGGGAACTGAGATTGAGCTCARTGCCTGAGATTCCACAGCCCATTTTTTTTTTTCCCTGAAAATCAGGCTTGGGTAGAACTATGTTCGCCCCTCTTGAGAGGATTACTTCTTTTTCATTTCATTTCTATGAGCTTTGTGTGCCAAATAGAAAGCATACATTTCCTTTATAAAGAGCATGTACTCTTTTTGTATTTATAGAATGATTTTGCTTTTAGTAGGTGGAAAAAACCATTAATTTGATTTGATGGGTACTTCCTGTAAGTTCTAGTTTCCAATGAGAGTCAGAGCCCTATCATGACCCCTTCAAAGTCTCTCAACAAACCTAACATCACAGGTGCATAGAGGGCATAGTGTTGGCAGACAGTCCTGACAGAGGTGTGGTTCGATGKCGTGCTACAGCACAAAAGTGAAAGTGTCAAGCGCAGGTAAGCCCAGATAATGATGTTTACKTCCAATAATTATATTATTATTAAATAGAAGGAATTATTATAGAAGAATTATTATATAGATTATTATATAGAAGAAAAAAGTGCACATTGAACTCCATTTACATCATGYGAAGCTGACTTGCTTCATAGTATGCCTTTTATGTATCTGCCATTCCTCTAGGTACAAATTTGTGGTCAGAATTTTAATTTAATGCTTTATTTGCACATTTCTATTTTTTCACACAGCCTACACACTTGTGTTTTATTGACTATGATCCTGTCATTATCTGGTAATTGATTTAATCAGTTTTCTACTCTTGTATTTGAGTACTGATTTTTCTAGTGTTTAGTATAAAAAATTTTAGTATGGAAAATATTTAGTATTCAGTGCATTGCTAAAAAAATATTAGTGAAATTGGGGGTGGCATCGTGGCTTTAAAGGGCATAAGAACTTAAGGATAGTACTCATTACATAAATTGCTTGATAGTTTTTCAGAAAATGATTTTAGTCTGCCCAGCAACTTATCAAAGCAATGTTTAAAAGAATTTGGAGTTTATTAAAAAATATATATAGTCTTTGATGGTAGGTGAATAATTAAACAAAGTTAATGTCATTTTTAGTCTCCTACTTTTGTCTTTTTGAGTCGGGGGAGGGGGGGTCCTGGGGTTGGAACCCAGAACCCCTCATGGGAGTCAAATGTCTGTCACTGAGCTGCACCCCCAGCCCCTAGGCTCATATTTTTGAYCAGGAACAACAGATGTTGCTGAAAATGCTTACCTAAAATTGTCAATTTTGAAAAAGGTTGTAGAGTTGAAAGGGCGGCCTGAGGGATGAAGAAAAAAGACTATTCCGGCAATTAGGAGGTGACATGGGAGAATATACTGTCATAGGAAAGGAAGAGGCAAGGCGAAGGGAAACAGGACGACACATAAATGAAATGAATATGGTTCACTGGGTGTTGGAGAAGACCAAAGGCACGGTGTCAGGGTGCAGCTGAGGGAAGCCTGCAGGAAGACCAAGGAAGTTTGAAACCAATGCTGGACAGAAGAGCGCAGCTGCAGACGTAAAACCTGTGGGTCGTGGGGAGGTGGCCATGAAAGAAGGTCTCTCCCACCTCCTGTCCCTCAAAGTCAACAGAAGAGGACAAGTTTAGGAAACTTAATTGGAGACACCTGAATGTTTTAGCCTTGGTGTTCTTTCAGTAACATATTCTAACTAGAGCTGTGCAGAAATGACAGAAATACCTTCTCATGCAATTAATTACTGTGATGAATACGAATGAAAAATGATGGGTAACATGTTCTCTTTTTCTCTCCAGATGGTGGATTTTTCCAGCAATCAAATCTCTGAAATGTGTAATTTGTCGGCATACCATGCTCTCACTAAACTGATTTTGGATAGTATCCTTTGAATGAGTAAAGGGGAAAATTTGGTTAATAGCTACTACTAGCTCCATCAAAGAATGTGTAGCAGATTAGATGGAATAATAGCAGATGTGTAATTTACTAGAGATGTGACTCGTTTCAATGATTAAAACTTGATATGCACAAAATGAGTAAAGATATTTTATTTACTAAGGAATAAAACTGCAAGTTAGAGCTTTCCAAGAGCATACTCTTGAGAAGTAWGGTAGTCCTTCTGAGGATTGTAGGCTTATTCTTAATTCCAGAGCCAGAGTGAATGAATTTCTTCAAATTTTCTTAAATTTGTGCCCAGTTTTATATAAATCCAGCATTTGAAAATCCAGATATTTTCATAAGGAAAATGAGTGGTATTTATTTTACAAGAGAATTCAAACTGGATTTCCTTTAAATAAAGCAAACCCTTCTAGTTTGTTTGCAGGGCTGAGGATCAAACCTGGCCTTGAGTATGCTAGGCAAGGGCTCTACCTTTGAGCTATGCCCCCAACCCCTCTAGTATATTTAAATATGCTTTCACCAAAAACAAAACAAAAAAAACCATTTTGATTTACAACCAACTTTGGGAGCATACCTCTTGCATGAATCAGGCTCCCATGCAGACAGAACYCCTAAAGTTCTAAAGCAACTTCTGGGACCTAACAGGTTAGTTAATTGGAGATCTGTGAGTTTAATGAGCTTGAGCTTCTTCCTTACACCAGAGACCGATGTTCTCTGGGTAATAAGGGAGCAGTGACTTCTCTCCAGGTATCTTTCTACCCACCTGAGGTTCTTCAGGACAGAATGGAGCATGAGTTGATTGCCCCTGGGTACCTCATTCCAGGGATATGKCAGCAGCTTGTTTGTATTAAGGCCRAGATTACAGAAGGTATATATTTTTGAAAACATATTTTGTAAAAAAAAACCTTTTATTCATATATCATGGAAGGCTAGAGCGTAGTCCCATCCCTTTAGAACTTGTATGTGACARCAAGCAATAAATGGACACTGAGATGTGCTCTTGACATGAGCATGCTCTCCTGATTGTAGCCTAATAGAGAAATCAAATAGTGATCCAAATGGAATGTTCCATTGACAAATTAGAAATACCCATTAGCAGCATGTCTCCATAAAACCTTCATTTAATGCTTGAGTATCATATGTATTAAATTTTCAAAGAAAATGAGTCTGACAGCTTAGAAGCCATGTGTCTAAGAAATCCAGTCATCTCAGGCCATATGGAAGCATGCTTCCCAGGGAGACTAGAGTCAGCATCACCTGCAATGTCTTAGTAGGTTCTTGGGCTCCACCCCAGAATTATACAAACATAGCCTGTATTTGAACAGATGCCCAGACAATTTGAGTGTACACTAAAGCCTGAGAGGCATTGGTCTAGAAATCAGCTTCCTTCCTAAGCTCCTGCCTTCCAGAAGGGCCTCAGCATCCAGAGCCCCTTCCCAGCCTTCAGGGTACCCAGACATGACAGTGTGGAGTTTGATATGGARAGCACTGTTTCCCCCCAAATCATTCTTTATGCGCAGTCTGGAATTGTCAGAGAAAATAACTTCCTATTATTCTGGAGTCAAAATGGGGAACACATATTAAAGCATGAGAATCTTAAATTTCCATTTAGATTTCCRTGTAATAAAATTAAAGTATTATGACTCTGTAAATGTCAACTTTCATAAAGAAAGGAGTTATTTGTTGTTGTTGTTGTTGGTTTTGTTTAACTTTACATCAGAAGTAGCAATCGAGTTTTATCACTGAAACTCATCAACTATATTTACCAATCAAAATCCAGAATATGGGCATCTGATTAAAGCATAGCATGGCACCATGAGCCACCTGGTTTGAAAAAAAAAATGCAAAGTAGTCAAAACAAACTACTCTTCATGGACTACTAATGAAATAAACTTAAATATCTTACAGTTTTGAAAAGCTAGTAGGCTGTTTTCTAAWCAGTACTCGATTTTATGCCTTTTGTTCTTTCAATAATCATATTGCACATGGTGCAGCTGGTGGGGCTTTATAAGTTTGGAAGTTGAAACTAAAATAAGCATTTGGTAAGATTATAGATTAATCTATTTGGAGGAGAAATGAACCGGATTAGATTATTTCTTAAATGACTAAACTACTTTGAGATTAAAAAGATAATTTTGTTTTAAGGTARTACATTTGAAAACTTAGATGAAATGGACAAATGCCCAGAAATTATTTTAAGTCAAAACATTCATTTGGAATTAGAAACCCCAAGTAGTCCTATAGCTATAAAAGTAATTCATTAAAAAATAGTTCTTACAAATTAAAATTAATTAGATTAAAAATCTTCCTACAAAAACACTTCACTTTACCCATAATTTTAAGAATAGACCTTCCAATAATGAATAATTTCTTTCAAACATTAAAAATAGAAAGCATATTCACAGTTCATTCTGATGAGGTACGTTGATTGCCACTCCAGACAAGGAATTACAAGAGAAAGGAAAAGGACAGCCTTATTTCAACYGTGATATAAATGTAGAAATCCTAAACAAATTAGTAGCACCTGAATTTGATAAAGTATTAAAAATGATGATAAGCTGTGAACATGAGTTTATCTTAGGAATGTAAGAGTAGTTTAATATTAGAAAATCTATAAATTAACTAAGTATATTAACAGATTAAGGAAAATAAGCCTTATAGTCCTTAAAGAAGCTGAATAGATAAGTAAAATTTAATAAAACACAGCACTTATTCACAATAAAACTCCCAGTAAACTAGTAACAGGGGCTTTTCTTGTTACAAAATGTCYACAAAAATGTTTCAAACTTTATCCTAGTTGGGCGATTGGGGATCCTATGCATTCTTCTTTAAAATYGGGAACAAGGCAAGGATACCCACCACTGCAACTTTTACCCCTTGTTGTTTTGGAGGTCTTAGCCAATACCCTAAACCAAGGGAAAGAAATTAGATGTATAAAATTGAGACTGGAAAAAAAATAAGTCATTCTTTGCAAATGACAWGTATAGCTACAGAGAATATAAACAAGAGCTTTCACTTGAAATAATAGTTTTGAGAGTTCAGCGAGGTGGCTAGATATGACTTCAATAAACAGAAAACAATCACATTTCTCTTTATCAGAAGCAAGGAATTGGAAAACACAAAGAGACACCACTTAGAAGAGCAAAAACATGAATCTTATTAAGGATAAATAAGTGTGTGGGAGGTTCATAATAAAACTTTCTTGAAGGGTATTGAAGATTTATAGAGAAATATATCCCATGACCCTGGATAAGAAGATGTGCAAAGATGTAAAATGARTCTTATAGAAAACAAATTAGATAAGCCTTATTTTCTTTCAAAGGAATGAAACTGAAAACTACTTGACATTGTATTATATCCATTTCATTGGCAAAATTTAAGAAATCTAAAAATACCAAGCAAGTGTTGGAGAACAGTGCTCTCCATATCAAACTCCACACTGTCATGTCTGGGTACCCTGAAGGCTGGGAAGGGGCTCTGGATGCTGAGGCCCTTCTGGAAGGCAGGGGATTAGGAAGRAAGCTGATTTCTAGACCAATGCTTCTCAGGCTTTAGTGTCCACTCAAATTGTCTGGGCATCTGTTCAAATACAGGCTATGTTATACAGAACACGGGGAGCAAGAGGATTTCTTTTTTACCTTGTTWGTAGGTATGACATCTCTGAAAAATAACTTCGAACTATCTCGTAAAGTTGAACATCCAAATTCACTATGACCTAACACTTTCATTCCTCATATGCAAAGTTTAGCATGCACCTGGAGACGTGTGTAAGAATGTCCATACTGATATTGCTCATCGTAGCAAAAATGGGAACAATCCAAATGTTCATTGATAATGGAAAGCACAAATTATACTGTAGTCTCACAATAACATATATACAGTAGTTACAATGAGTAAAATATACCTCCGTGAAGCAATAAAGRTGAATCTTGATAAAAACAAATATAATTTAGGTATGAAACTACAGGGAGGAGGAAAGGGAAGAGGAAAGAGACAATCCAGCATAATGATGATCTCTGCCCGATCTCAGATACAGGATTCAACAGGAACAGTGTGCAGAGGCAGGTTTAAGTTGTTGCTGGTGTTCTAGACTTGGGCTGGGATGAGAGTAGTTTCATGAATGTTCATTTTACATGTGTGTGTGTGTGGCTTCAGGTTGAACCCAGGACCTCAAGCCTGCTAGGCAGGTGCTCTACAACTGAGCTACATCCTACCCCCTATTATTTTTGGAAGAATATAAAAGGCCATCCATGGCCAATTATAAATCAAGTATTAAGATTAACTTAATTAGCTTAATTCTATATAAAAATTTAAGAACCCCAAATATCTGAATRAATTTAGTTGAGAATAATGATCTAAATCATCAAACAAGCTAGTGATACTGACAATGTGATTATAGTAGATTAYATCAATAACTCAGAGTGAATTGTAAACTCTAAAGCCTCAATTTTAAAATTTAACTTATTTTAGRCTATTTTGTCCTAACTTTTAACTGATGGATAACTGATGATTAATTGATAATCACCCTAAATTGCAAGATAAGAAATTTTGCTAAGGTAAAGTAGATTATTATTAATAATAAGTACTTATTATTATATAAGTTGATAGTTTATTTTTTTTTACCTGTAAGCATTGAGTGGTTATTGATTAGGCTGCATTTTAGGATTATGGATCATGGAATTTAAAAAAATGATTCATAGAGATTTAAATCTAGATAGGATTTTAGAGATCATCTAGTGCTTACCATTATTTTATTTATATATTWAATGAAAAGGAGTCTGAGACTCATTGAGGGTCAAGAACTTGCCYAGAATCATCTGGTAAATGCTTGAACTGAGATTAGTCTTCAGAATTCAGTTGTTTTTCCCATGTTGCAATCTGCTGAGTAATTATTACTTTTATTGCATAGCTATTTACATCATACGCATGTTTCTTTTCTTAGATTCACTCCTATCGTAAAGCTCATTTTTCACTGGTAAGGTGATGTAGATCTTTCAGRATTAGTTTTGATTAAAGCCATCATTGTGGTCTTCTCCACTAAGAGAATTGTGATGGATTTCCTACGTATTTCTCAGTAACTGTTTTCTGTACACCTGAACCATATTTTATGATTGTAGACAAATGAATAAGAGCAAATACTGAACTAGTGAATAATTCATGTCAAGCATTTGAGAAGTACTGRCAGCACTGCCAAAATGTAAAAATATATTGTTGGGATTTTTCCCTCCTTGTAAAGTTATGCTAAAGTGCTACAGGSTTCTCCACTCGGTTTCCACAAGGGTCTAAAATTCCCCTGCAAGAGATTTATTCACAGAATGGCAAAACTTTAGCGCTGGAATGCAATATGATGATTTTGAGTTCCTGGAGTCTCTCTTACCTGATACCRTCTTTTAAAATTATAATATACCTAAGAGGATTAGCCCAGTAAGCTAATTCATTGTAATAGTTTAGTGATTTATCAGATTATACCTTTTCTTATCAGAAACTCCTAAGACCTAAGAAAGAACATGAAAGAATAATGTTAGGAAGAAGGGCAAGTTACATTCTGTGAAGGTTCTTAAAATAAGAAAGCAGGAGATTGAAGAGATAAAGGTGCTCCTGAAAGCGAACTGCCAACCAAGAGCTCTCTCAGGCCCAGTCTGGCATGTCGACTGTTACTGTTGCTGGCAGCCAGGTGTGATGTGACTGTTAGAATAATTASAGGGGCACTGGAATACCACTGCTATAAGTACAGTCACACTAAAGTATCCRTGGGGCATTGGTTTCAGAACCCTCCTCAGACGCCAAAATTGATAGATGCTCAAATCCCTTATGTACAGTGGCCTAGTGTTTGCCTATAGTCTAGGCACATGCACCTGTCATTTTAATTCATCCCTAGAATACTTATAATACTCAATAGTTGTTCTGCATTGTTGAGAATAAAGCAATGAAGGAAGTCTATACCTACAATGTAATTTTGTTTTTATRCAATATTTTCAACCCTTGGCTGGTGGAATATGAGGACGTGGACCCTGTGTGTTTGGTGGGCCAGCTGTGCTCTTTACMCAACAACCTGACTAACTTCCAGTGCCTGGAGTGAAGAATTGGGAAACTGGAGGAGATAGTTTTTCTGAGATGAGCATATTTCTGAGCAGAGATGTTTAGTCAGTGCCTTACTTTTTCTCCCAGGACTGTGAGGGATGGTGGTGAGACCTGCAGGAGCCATGCTGGACTGAAGTAAGACAACTGCGTTCCTCTTTCTTTCTATCCTTACAGGACTTACTGGAGAACTTGATAGGGAACTGGGTATACCAAGGGGGCTGTGGTATCCTCGAATGTCTGGGAAAATGACTGTGGACCCAATAAACAAACTTTCAGTTCCTAATATCAGGATTCCTGTCTTCTAGTTTTCTGATCCTTGCCTGTTTCCCATGGGACCCTACCCAGCTGCTCACAAGCACCTGTATTGTTCTGCCATGATTCAGAGCATCTTCATCTTGGTTATAAAAGAGCTACCAGGACACTAGTGCTCCTGAAATAGCTGAGGAAGGTAGCCACTTGAAGTTTTCATAGCCTAGTTTTTGTTGTCAAAGATTACCTCTTTAAAGAGTATTTTATTTCATCCGTAGCTCTGTGAGATAGTTTAATTTACTCTTTCCTATATTTTATATCCATCTTTTGTTATAATTCATATTTACAAAGATCTGGTCTTTTTCTAGTTTTAGAATAATTATTTGAAGAGCACAAAGAAATCAGAAGCAGAAAAGATAGTGTTAGTGAGCACAAATATCTGTGTGTGAGAATGTTCTAGCGGGAGCTTCTTGGAAGTCAATCTGAAAATACATATTGACCTCACAGAGCTGGATTTCAGCCCAAAGATTGGATCTGAAACCAGTGAGGAAAACCTAGGAATTTCTGTATATTTAGCAACATATTCTTATCTAGTTTCCTTATTGACCTTTTTTCTCTGGCCTAGCTCTTTTTTGATTTAATCCCATCCTTGAATCTCCCATTTCCATGCTATTGGCCAAGAGGTGCAGGACAAGATTCCTTGGCCTCATGTGATTATAATTTAGTAAATGAGATCAGTGCCTTATAAGTCTGAGGTATGGCTCATTGACATCCTAACATTTGGCCTAATGGCAACTTGATGTCCCCATTTTACAAATGAAAAATCTGAGCAGAGTGCAGTGAATTCACAAAACCAGTAAATCCTAGCGTTAGGATAATTCCAAGTCATTCTGAGGCAAAACATGTTTTTATGATATTTATGATCCCTTCCTTCCTATCTACAAAGTTCTCTGTTTTYCCATGAATGGAAGAGGATAGCAAGGGGTTAGAAGTTGACCAGAAAAGGCCTTGAGAAAGATATGGCTCCTCTAGAATGGATACCAAGAAGTGGATGTGCTGAGACGTATTTTCAAGTATGATGGGCATTACCAACTTGCCTGCAGAGTGGCTTTATCATAACAGACCCACTCATCCAGTTATGTAAAAATCTATGTTCCTCAAAATCTTTTATTTTAWGATATTTGCTAATTGGATGGTGAAGAATGGCATCTTGGTTTGCATTCTCCTGACTTCAGGTGAAGTAGAACATCTTTTTATATGTTTATTAGTCACTTGGGTATTATTTTCTGGAAATTGCTTGATCATATTCTTTGTCCATATTATATTGAGTTGGTTTGTCCTCCCCCCTAGATTTGTTGTAATTTTTTATGTATCCTAGGTAGTAGTCTTTTATCTGTCACACGTAGTGTGAATTTGCCCCCCTAGGCTATCCTTTCTACTTGCTTGTATAATTAAAAAGTAATAAAAAAAGAAATAAGAAAATGAGGATTATCAAAAATAAAACTTGAGATATCAGTGTAATGTGAATGTTTAAGAGAAAGGAAAAGAAAAAACTATGGAATATGGAGTTATATCCTAAAGAATAGGGTTTAGGGCTGGCTCAGCAGTAGAGCRCTTGCCTCGCATGTGCAAGGCCCTGGGTTCGATCCTTAGCACCACGTAAAATTAATAAATAAAATAAAAGTATTTTGTCCAACTACAACTAAAAAAATATATTAAAAAAAGAATAGGGTTTAGAAAGTAATAGGAAAGCAAAATGGATTTTAAAAAATACACTGCCAAGTAAGAAAGCTCCTGGTCCATTCCAGAACAATTGAGAGAATTGGAGAACATGGGAGAAATGGAGAACCCTCAATGGGTTATAATGGAGATGAAATAGGATAAGTAGGTTTTGTGAAGGGTCTTAAATGTCAGTGAGCACTTTGAAATTCATCCTAGAGAATTTTTAAATTGAAATAAGATATCCAATCAACATTTTGAAAAAATTAACCTCTGACTACAGTGTGTAGGGGACTCAAAGGCAGGAWTGATGAATATAGCAGTAGTGTTGGAGATGAGTGCTAAAGGTGGATTCAGTTGGCAGAGGAGTGAATAAAAAGGCAGGGAATGATGAAAGAGATATTTTAAGGCAAAAATGCCAGGTCTTCGTGATTAATGGGATGTCATGCCGATTATGAATAGCTGAGAACTGGTGATGTCACAGGCTACTTGAAAGGGAACACTGAGCTTGGATGAGGCAATGACATTAAATCCTGGAACTGATCAGAGAGACTAAGCTGGTGACTTTGAGATTACAGCTTTAGGGGCCTACAAGGAGGGGACACAAGATAAAATGTTGACATTTTAGCAATAAATGTAATAAATTTAATTGACAGAAGAAAGCCGAGTTTACGCCTCTTTTATTTTAAAGGGAGAAGAGAAACCAATACAAGCAGAAAGGGATGTCCCTCTCTGTGCCAGGTTCTAGTCTTTGGGCCACCCATTTGCTACAGAGGGCATGTCCCAGGCTGTCATTCTAGTTACAGAGATGAAAAACCTTGGCACCTGTGCCCTCTTCAGGGCCACCCCACATTCAGAAGTCCTAGCAGGGGGAAAGCACATAGCTTCATAGATCATTAACCAACCAAGGGAAGACGTTGCCAAGGAGGCAGCTCTGAAACTGGGAGTTCTTTTATACCATTTGAATGAGTCACATATGAATGCAAATACTACTGAGCATTTTTTAAACTTTTAATTTCATATAGAATGCCATATGAAAAATATATCTCAGAATCTAGTGTTCATCTTATATTGGGCATATAATCTTTATTTCAACTGTTGTCTGATTTTTCTAGTGATGATTTAATACTAATTCTTTTTATCTTCAAAATGCTTTCAATGACATTTTCCTTAAACCGTTGTGATATACAGACAATGAGATAGAGGAAATTAGAGGACTAGATATGTGCAGTAGCCTCACCCACCTTAGTTTGTCCAACAACAGGATCATGACAATTAGTGGCTTAAACTCATTACCCATCAAAATACTTTGTCTGGTAAGTGTCATTCTTTGTAGAAGTAGCAATTAATGCTTAATAAATCTATGAATTATGACTACTTAGAATTTTTCAAGTAGATAAAGAGCCAGTTCCTTCATGAAATGTCATTGTCTTCTCCTTGTTTACTTCATTCCATATCTGGGCTCTGTGTGTGTGTGTGTGTGTGTGTGTGTGTGTGTGTATGTGTGTGAGTGTATATGTACACATGCATGCAATATTGATAATCCATGAAAATGTAAAATGATTTTCTAATTTGTTAACCAACTTTTTAAAAAGATTTACTTTATATACTGGGAAAGAAAGATGTCTTTTATCAGTTATGAAAAAGTATTTAACAATATTTTATTTGGGAAAATAATATTAAACCTTATTTAAGCATAGTAGTTATTGTGGTTCACACTTTATCGCCTTCAAATAAACTGTACGATGTTTCTAGGCATTGAACTTTGGTTGTCCTTTTATATTAGTACATTCTAGTCTCTCATTCTAGAAAATCAGAAATCATGCTGACAATAACAGAACAATTCCAACCAGAATGTTCAATTTGATTGTTTTTTCCCATGGAGAGCATCCTTTTTAAGCCATATGACATGCAGTGTGACTATGATTCAGTGAAAATAGAGTTCATTTACCAAAAACATCAGCAGGATCATGGTAGTCCCAGAGATATACATGATATCTTAAAAATAACACTATAGCTCACGAATGTGGGGTGCCCATAATACTGTCTGTTGGCATATCCAGATTTCTTTTGCTTCCTTTCCTCCTCCCTCCTACCCTTAGATGGCTTTGCTGTTCTTTGTTACATGTGTCACAGGGTGGGCAGGAAGCGCTTCCAGCCATGGAGCTTGTAGCTTATCAATTTTGTATGTGAACTGTCCCACAGGAGGATGTTGAACTGTTGTCTGAAATGACATCTTGGGCTATCTGCAGATTTTTGACATATGAGATATACTATTCCTGTCTTATTAACCACAGATCACTGAAGGTTGCCTTTGTGAAAACTTCCCTTGCCTTGAGCTTAGAGCATCTCTACAGTGAGTTAGGTGAGGGTAAATACTAACATTCTAGAATCAGACAAAAGGTTTAATAATTTACCTGGGACTTCATGTTTTCTGCCTACTAGGGTTTGTTCACAAAGCATATGAAAATGAATTTGATAAATGGTATTGAAAATTTTAAATTCCAAAAGAAAGTCATATTTTAAAGTTATGATCATCTGAAGGATTATTAGCAATATTGTACTACTCATTTCCTAGATTCTTAGAATCTTTTCCTTTTCTATGCATATCTTATCTGCATTAACATTCCCACTAATTTTAAGTGGAACTTTAAGGGGAAAGAGATATGGAAGGAAATGAGAATCGAATCCTTTATTGAGAATGACACACAACACTTTCATCTTCAGAGTTTGTTTCATTAACTACATAAATAATCCATGTTGACAGGTCTGTCTCAACCAGTTTTTAGAAAAAGCATAAAGTATTTATATTTTTCTGCAAATAGATCAATCCAACTCCAGCTCCCATCACCCAAAATGAGCTACAAAATATACAACATGCTATCTTTTATTGTCCTTAAAAAGTTTGAGAATAAGAAGGTTTACTTTTTCTATTTTTAAAAAGTTTTATACCGTATGGGGCTGGGGTTGTGGCTCAGCTGTAGAGCGTTCACCTAGCCGTGCAAAGCCCTGGATTCAATCCTCAACACCACATAAAAATAAATAAAATAGAAGTATTGTGTCCAACTGCAACTAAAAAATAAATATTTAAAAATAGATTTATACCATAAAATGACACATATTTACTTCTACCATTTTTAATGCTTTTGTTTTTAATTCATGGAATCAGAAAACCAGTTGCTTTTGTTACTATTGAAAAGAATTCATTTTATAGTTTAGAGCTAATTCTCAACCTTCGACTTTTATGATAAATGTAAAAGTTGAAAAGTGGAAAATGTGGTTCGCTAATGGGCTGTTCTGTCACCCAGCTTTTCTTAGCAAGTAATGACAGCACATTCCACACTTAAGAGCCACTTGGTTTTTCCCTGCCAAATCGATAGACTAAGAATGTTTTTTACTTATTTAAGAAGATAGCTTTTCTCTAAAAGTGTTATCTTTGCTAATCATCACAAAACAAGCAGGAAGAACCATCCGTGCAGAAGCTGCCGTCTCTTTCTAGTGGGAAGGTCAGTCTTTCAGCCGTGGGTAAAGGCTTTGACTAGCTGACGCTCACTTCAGAAATTTTGCAATTCTGAAATTTTCTCAGTTCTGGTTTCTTTTATGACCACAGGCTATCTAATTAAATTTTTCTATGCATCACTCTGCTCATATCATCTACCACTTTGAAAGCCATCAGAGACACTGGGAAGAAGAATTACGGTCTATCTAACATATCGAAAGCTCTTCAAAGTTCTTTGGGGGAAAATGCATTGTATATAAATTTGATGTGTGGGCATTTTTTGAATAGGATATTGAGGTCTTATTTCAATACATTAAATTTATGTGGATGTGATACTAAGCTTAGTTTTTTTCTTTCCTTTTTCTATTATGCTTTTTATAACTTTTTTGAAGTGTGAACAGAAGGAAATTTGATTTCATTTTGGCAAATGGGATTATGAATATTTTTCCTTTCCATTATTGCATTTTTAAAACATAAAAATAAAAAGAATAGTACAATAAGCCCTCATGCACTTTAACAGCTTTATATATTATTAACATCCTATTAACATGTTTTAAGGAGTCATAGAATTACATTAATGAACACAAATCCAACTCATTATTGATTTGAAGTTTTATGAAAAATAGGATGACAATGAGCTTTTGCTATTAAATGTACCAGGAAACCCATATTAGTGAAAATATTGTAGGTGGAAAAAAAATGCAGAGAACTTGTAGAGAAGCCACCTAGAGAAAAGGAAATCACATGGCAAAGTCCCTGGGACTAAAAAGAAAGAAAATCTAACCATCGAAGCATCCCAGCTGAGTCAAGTCCCAACCAATATGCCAGGTGAATGCAGCAAGCCCAGCAGAAGAACCGCTAGAATTTCATTTTTTAAATGCTCATTAAAAGTTTTGAAAGTTTAAGGATGGGTACAGTAGGTCATTCACTGAACCTCAAAATTACTCTTTATTATAATTTTCAACTCAAACTAAAATTTTAATTTTACTTTATTATACTATTTCTTATACCTAAAGGCTAAGGAAGTCAAGAAACAAAGAATGTGTTGGAAAACATACAAGAAAATATAATTATTATTTTTTTGGGGGAGGAGTACCAGGGATTGAACTCAGGGGCACTAGATGTCTGAGTCACACTCCAACCCTATTTAGTATTTTATTTAGAGGCAAGGTCTCACTGAGTTGCTTAGCACCTCACTTTTTGCTGAGGTTTGCTTTGAATTCTTGATCCTCCTGTCTCAGCCTCCCAAGCCTCTGGGATTATAGACAGGTGTGTGCTACTGCACCCAGCAAGAAAATAGAATTATTTTTATCCCTTTTGTTATTATGAGTACATGGAGGTTGGGAAAGAAAATATTTGAGTATGAAATCTTTGTTATAGTCTGACTGAGAAGATACTCATGTGTGAATTATTGAAGAACTTAGTTTGCTACCTGTCATTGCATCACAGGCCACCTCAATTGTAATGACTTGGAGAAATAACTTTGATTAGCTGACAGTTCCCTAGTCTGAGCTGGGTTCTGCCGGGTGGTTCTTCTGCTGGGCTTACTGCATTCACCTGGCATATTGGTTGGGACTTGACTCAGCTGGGATGCTGGGATGGCTAAGTTTTCTTTCTTTTTAGTCCCAGGGACTCTGCCATGTGATTTCCTTTTCTCTGGGTGGCCTGTCTTCATGTTCTCTGCAATAGAGTGGCTGGAATTTTTACATGATATCTCAGGGCTCCCCCAAACCCAAAGCAAAGGTTTCCAGCCTTCTAAGTCTTAAGCTTGAAACTGGCACACTTTTGTTGTACTCTTTTGGCTATGGGAAGTTATAGGCTAGCCTAGATTTAAGAAAAGGGAGTTGTACACAGTATGAATTACTAGAGACAAGATTCATTCATTGGAGGCCACCAAAGCAGCACACTACCACTGCCTTTGTGGTCTGATGTTATTATATTTAGAGTATTTCTGAAAACAAAGTATAATATTCTAGAGGTTTATTGTGATAGGTTGAAAGAATTGTATTTAGTTTGTATTTCTCGAGATCCAGATGGAGTTATACTGCCATTAGGCTTAAGCTGTGCAGTTACAAGCTCATATTACCTACCTTTTGTCTTTCCTATTGATTGAATACTCATCTTTAAAATGAAGATGATATATTCCAATCTTTCAGTTGAAAAACTAGGATCACTCTCTGGGGTGTTTCAAAGAGTAAATGATGAAAATATGTATGTGGGGTGCGAAGAATGACTTCCTGTTTTTCTTACTTTCTTTTCTTTTCTTTTCTTTTTTTTTTAAAAGAAGATTTGGGGAAGTATCCAAAATAAAAATTTGCTATTACAAATTTTCTTATGAGAAGAATTTAAAATATTACATATATTTTGTTCATTTTAGAGCAATAACTGCATTGAGACCATCACGGGTTTAGAGAATCTGAAAGCCCTGCAGAACCTAGATCTGTCCCATAATCAGATATGCAGCCTCCAAGGCCTAGAGAATCACGACCTCCTGGAAGTGATCAACCTGGAGGATAATAAGGTAAGGTGCTCCCAAGTCTTGGTGTCTGCATCTACCTGAGAAAACACATTAGAGAGTTAACACAGACACCCTTTATTGGCTTTTCAAGACCTGTCACATGAAATGCCAGTTTAGAAATGTTATTCTAGCAAATTTATTAGAGCAGTAGTCCCAGAAGCACTGTTTTTTTAAAATAAATATTTACAGTTCATGAGTTTTGAAAAGTTGATGCTTACTAATTGCACTGTTTTAAAGGTTTAAACTGCAATCATGTGTGTATAATTTTCTGGAGTAAATGTGCTCATGCAAAATTTTGTGTAGAAAGATAGCATTAGAAATATCTGAACTGTCAGATCAAGGGGAGTGGAGTAAGAGACTAGCCTCAGGCTGGTATTACTCTTGCCTACATTCAAAGAGAAGACTGTGCCAGTATTATGTCAGAGGAGGGACTTGGGAGATGTTGGCTGTTATGGTTTGGATGTGAGGTGTCCCACAAAAGCTCACGTGTGAGACTGTGCAAGAAAGTTCAGAGGAGAAATGATTGGGTTGTGAGAGTCTTAACCTAATCAGTGAATTAATCCTCTGATAGAGATTAAGTGAGTGGTGACTGAAGAGGTTTTGTGTGGCTAAAGGAGGTGGGAATTGGAGATGTCCCTATATAATTTGCATCTGGAGAGTGGAGTCTCTCTCTCTCTCTCTGCTTCTGGARCATCATGTGAGATGCTTCCCTTTGCCACACTCTTCCACCATGATGCCTGCCTCATCTTGAGCTCTGAGGAATGGAGCCAGCTGTCTGTGGACTGGGACCTCTGAAACTGTGAACCCTTAAATAACTCTTTCTTCCTCTACAGTAGATCTGGTCGGGTCTTTCAGTTGCAGCAGTTTTTTAAAAAGCTGACCAAAACATTGGCCAAAGCATATAACATTCTGGTTTGATAGGAGGAATAAATTCAAAAGATCTATTGCACAGCATAGTTACTAAAATTAATAATAATATACCATATTTTTGAAAAATGCCAAGATGGTAGGTTTTAAATGTTTTCTACCATAAAACAATAACTTGGTGAGGTAATACATATGTTAATCAGCTAGATTTAGCCATTTGACAATTTATATATATTTCAAAACATCAAGTTACACATGATGGATACATATAATTTTATAAAAAACTTTAAAAATGTGAACACCCCAGGAAAGGGGTGAAAAAAATAAATGCAGAGAAGAGGCATGGAAAGTGACTTCTTATATCCTGTTGGCAACAATAGGGTATGATCCTAATCTGTATAATGGGTTGAGAATTGGGCATATTCAAAATTTGAAATCTGGTTTAATATATACTGCAAAAATTATATAAACTGATTTTCACTCTTAATTGCATTTTATTTTTAATAAAGCATTTGCGCTCCTAGTCGTGATCTATTAAGTTGGCACCTGTAGCCAACTTCATAAGCAATGAGATCTCTATAAAGTGATTTTATTCATATTGAGTACTTCATTTATTTCTTCTTCCTGCCTGTCTGTCTGTCTGTCTGTCTGTCTCTCTCTCTCTCTCTCTCTCTCTTTTTGTACCAGGGATTGAACTCAGGGGTGCTTAATGACTGAGCCACATCCCCATCCCTTTTTTAAAATATTTTATTTAGAGACAGGGTCTCACTGAGCTGCTTAGGGTCTCACTAAATTGCTGCGGCTGGCTTTGAACTCTCAATGCTTCTACCTCAGCCTCCTGAGCCACTTGGATTACAGGCATGTGCCACCATGCCCAACTTGTTTATTTCTTCTTGAGAATGAAAAGTTGGTCAAAGTTTGAGACAGTCTATGCTCAGTGGAGCAATGTGTGACGCTGTGGAGACTTGCTCTGTCTTGCTGGGATGCTGCTTATCAGTTAGGTCTGACCCTTTCTCTGACAAATTTACATCATCTGTTAAGTTGCTAAAAGTCAAAGTTAGTTATTAAAGTCTGGGAATAAGTGAATTTTTAATCATAGAAAAACTGTTCATCTGCATCTCACTTGATTTGTATATCAAGTTGTTTTGATCACTTCTCAATTCTAGTGGATGAACTTTGTTCATTGCACTGTGTTTCTTAGGACGTCAGCATGATCTCTATTTCATGTTATTTTTTCCTTTTTACACAATTACCATTGAAGACTGGGTTTTTTTAAAAAAAATTCCTGCTTAAAATGGTTCTCACATATAGCCGGGGGTGTTGAAAAGTTGGAATAAGCTCATTATATGTCAACTAGGGGCATCTCATGATTTAGGAAAAGGAGCAATGGTAATGATAGTAAAAATTACAATCATAAAATTATCTAGACATATCTGCTGAGTACTTATACACCAGGCACTAGTCTAAGCACTTTACGTATCTCATTTAATCCTTATTACAACCCTRTTATTATTGCTGTTTTGTAGATGAAGAAGCTAGGGCACAGAAAAATTAAGTAATTTGCCCAAAGTTCTATATAGCAAAAAGCAGAACCAGGACTCAAGTAGAGAATGCTTTGCCTCCTGAGTCAATGTGCTTACCCTCTGCAAGATAACACAGTAAATTAAATGCCAATGCCTCCCCCCACCACCACCACTTTCAGAACTAGGTGTGGTGTAATGCCAGAGAACAGTGCTTTTTTCTAGAAATACAATGTGAGCCACAGAAATGAGTCACGGATATCATTTAAAATTCTCTAGTAGTCACAATAAATGGAAAAAGAAACGGGTGAAATCAACTTTAATGATATATTTTACTTAATATATCCAAAATATGATATTTTTAGCATATAATCTACATATAAAATTATCAATGAGTTATTTTGCCTTCTGTTGTCTCATACTGAGTTTTGACATTGGGTATATGTTCTATGCTTAGATGACATCTCAGTTCACGCTGGCTGTAGTGCAAGTGCTAAGTAACTACATGTGGCTGGTGACTACCATATTGGGGAATGCAAGTCTGCAGACACCTCTCAAGCAGTATGTAGCTCTCTTCCATTTCAAGAGACTTTTCACATTACATTCAGAATAGTTTAAAGAAGAGCTATCCTCAAGCGAAGACAGGAGTTTATAATTTTCAAGTGTTAAAGAGATTCTATTAAAAAGAAAAGTGGCTACATGTCCCCAAAGGAGCTCCTTTGGTAACAACTGGGTCCTTGACAATAACAGGATTCCCTGGCTCCCCACTGGGTAGGTTGGGGAGCAACAGATGGTACTTTGAAACATTCGTGGAGCCATCTGAAGAGTTCCTCAGAGATTTCTCCAGGACAACTGAGAATTCTATGTATCAGGGATGGAAAATTTATCCTGTAAAAGAAACACAGCAGAGTTTCTGCTTCTCATCTGATGAATTTGGGGTTAGGAGCACAGTTTTGTTGAGAAGGACTTGCATCAAGATTGTTTCCTTGTTTGGCCGTTGAAACGTGGTAGCTCCTACCCAGCTTCATTTGAATTACTGTCCTTGACACATGTTTACTGTCTGCTGGTGACATGGGGACCTCTGTCACCATCCATGCTGCAGACCTTGTTAGATTTTTAAACCATGTCTAGCATTTAAAACCTGGTCAAATCTGTTCACTCTATTAGGTAGCCCCTGACCTTTCTTCCAGCAGTGGGATGTTTCTCTGGAGTGACTTAGAGAATGCTGGGGTACTTCCCTGAGTCTTAGTGTGGCCATTTCACATGGTTTATCCCAAATATTTTTTCTTCTGAGTCTTTGTAAGGATTAACAAGATAATTCTCATAAAGCAATACAAGCAAGGAAAGAACTGCTATCCTAAGGAACAGTGGTACTCCCCCATGCTCTTAGTCTTTGTTGTTTGAGTGTCCTGGCCTTTCTCCCAGAGTGCTCAGGGAGACAGCTGAAGACCACATTTTTACCTTTTATTTTTGTGACACCTCAAACAGATTAGAAGTTCTTCAGGGAAGATTTCTTGCTTCTTGTTGTTCAGAGATGCATACCATTTGTCTCAGGCAAGCAATGCTCAAATCTTCATTGGTTCCTGGCTCATGTTTCTGTTTATGTCTGTGGACAAAAGGAGTTTGGGGGACTGAAGACAGTCTGGCTCCTAAGTCAACTTGGTCTCTCCTGTGATTTACATTTGTTAGACCTGAGAAGAGAGGGGTTGGACTTCTTGGGGTCCTTGAGGCCTTCAGGGACTGACAACATTGCTGCAGTCACCTGAGCTGGGTATAGGAGATGCAGGCATGATCAGATCTGCTGCTAAATTCAGTTCCCATTCCACCTGGCCAAGGTACTCCTGCCACGGGATGCAAACAGGAAGGAGGCCTGCTTCGGAGGCCTTTGGCCTCTTTATATTCAGGAGGGTTGGCCAAGACTAGGTAACTGAGCTTCCATATACTTCCAAGACAATAGAAACTGTCCGGGTGTCTCTCCTGGTAGCTGTGGCATAAAGCCCTGAGAGGTACCACTTGGATTCCAATCCTGATGTGCTTCATCACTTGTGGCAAATACTTTTTTGAGCTTTCAGATCAAGGCCAACCCCTTCCCTCTCTGCCCATGGCCCCATACCTAGTGCGTACCTCATGGTGCTGAGTTTGGCTCCATGGAGTTGGAGTCAGCTTGCTGTAGCCAGCAGTTCAGGACTGAGGCCTGTTGTGGCCTTTGCGCATCACTGGGCGTGGAGAGAGCATCCTAGGGGCAGCGTGTGGAGTGAGACGCTCTTGCAGAAGAGGGTGAGAATTCCAAGTTGCTGGCGTTTCCTTCCGATCTTCATACAAACCAAGCTCACTTCCACCTCAGGGGCTTTGCCTATCTGGCATCTCCACTAGGAGTTTTCCCCAAAATTTCAAAACCGTCTACATGTTTGTTGAATGTTGGCTTCTGTCAAGCCCTCAGAAGCATTCTCTGACCACCTCAGGCCTCTCCAGCTCCCTGGCCCTATTTTCTCTGTGTCTCTACCCGGCTTTATTTCTCACTAGCACTTATTTCTGTCTGAGATATAGTGTATCATGTATTCTGTTGTTACATCTTGAAGAGTTTTTGTCTTTCCCACTATACTGTTAGCTTCATGAGCTCAGGGATTTTATCTTGTTCACTTTGTGCACTGTCTGGTTCGTAGTTGGCACTGAGGAGTATTTGTTGACTGAATGCAGGGCTCTCAGGAGCCCTCAAGAGCGCTCAGATTTGCCTCTCGCCTCGCAAGTGCTTGGTTGGTGTTTAAGGTGCATATGATGAGATTCTAGAGTGATTGTGGATAAAAAAAAGAAAGAGGCATTTCAAAAATCTGATTTAATAGTAAAGATATTTTACCGAATGGATATGATGTATCAGGATTTACCAAGTCATTCACTCACTGAAATTTGTTATGTCTGTAATTTGCTATTAAACATAATGTTGTAGTGTGTATTCCTTATGTGCATATTTTATTATGAGGATAGATTCTTGGAATTCCTGGGTATGGGCATTTAAAATACTATTGATGGGCTGGGGTTGTRGCTCAGTAGTACCGCATTTTTCTGGCATGTATGAGGCTCTGAGTTCAATCCTCAGCACCACATAAAAACAAACAAACATACAAACAAACAAATAAATAAATAAAGGTATTGTGTCCATCAACAACTAACTAAATAAATAAAATACGATTGATATATTTTCTGAAGGTTCATACTAATTAAGACCCTCTGCTGTTTGAGCAACTAATAAATTTCTGATGTTTAAAATAAATAAATAAATAGAGTTACCAAATTATAGTGACCAAAAAAAATCAAGATCAATGTAATGTTTTGAGCAACTAATAAATTTCTGATAATTAAAAAAAATAAATAATTATAAGTTACCAAATTATAGTGACAAAAAAAAGACCTCTGCTGTAGTATATTACTACACTTTTATCAACAAATGTCATTTTAAAATTATGTCAGTCTGGTAGAGGAAAATGGTGTTTTGTATTCTGTTTGTTAGGAATATCTTTGAGGTTAAATATTTTTGTGTTTGTTAACCTTTTGATTTCTGTTTTAGAAATTATCTTTTCATTCCCTTAATTACTAATTATTTTACGACAGTTTTTATTTTGCTTTTCATTGTGCTTAAGGTGCTTTTGATATACATATTAAAATAATTTATGAAGGGGCTGGGGTTGTAGCTCAGTGATAGAGCATTCACCTCGAATGTGGGAGGCACATACATGGAGCCAAACTTATCACCATGAGGTATGCACTAGGTATGAGGCCTTGTGTGCAGTTTTTGTACTGTTACTTTTGTACTCTTTTATTTCCACTTAAAATAAACATGGATGAGAGAAGGAAGCCAACTGTTCTCCAACTTGAGAAAAAGAAGAAAAGGTGGTTGTGTGTTCACATTTATTGAAGAGGTAATTCCCATGTCTATGTAGTTTTGTGGAATTCTTGTTAAAAAGCTGGATATTCAAACAGGGCAATATTAAAAAATAAATTTAAGAATCCAAACTGGACTCCATTATATTGTTTTTTTCTATTGCTTTTGTGCATTGTCTATTAATATTTTTTCTTTGATTAAACAGATTGCTGAGCTGAATGAAATAGAATACATTGAAAATCTTCCTATTCTCCGAATTCTCAATCTTCTAAGAAATCCAATTCAGGTGAGAGCTCATTTATATGAGGGGAGGAGGTGGAGGAGAACCTTAAAATTTTTCCTCTTCAGGAAGTACTTCTGATAAAGAACATCGGGAATGTGAATACACTTTATCTTTCTTCTCTGTCTTTTAGAAAAAAATTAGTCGGGATAAGTAACGTGGCACCTAAAATGACCTGCTTTTCTAGAAATTAGATTTTTGTGACTAAAAGCTGTCTGCACAGCAACACTATCAGAAAAAATCAAGTCCAGAACTGAATGTCATTCACTTGCCTTGCAGGGTCATTTGTGGCCCTAGGGTGGCACTAGGATTGTAGGAGAACAAGTGACACTGGAGAGCAGTGTTCTTTCACATCAGAGAACACAAGACCCCGGAAGTATAGACAGAACATGGTTCCTATTTTGTAAAAGAGTTGGAGAAACTGTAAGATTAAATACCTGAAGTGATTTGCTTGGATATAGCCATGAAATTGGTGTGGTTATAAAAATTATTATAAAACTATATGTATATATGTATGGAGTCATCTCCTAGGGTTTCTTAACCTCTGAGATGCAAAGCTCAGGTCTTTGGGTTTCTTTTTTTTCTCCATTGATAGATCCATTCTCCTGGCCTCCCTCCTTCCCTCCTGTCCATCTGTCCTTCATCCAGTTTTATACCTCATCCTTCACGTTAGCTTCCACAGACTCTTGCCTGTGTGCGTCCCCAGGTGCCTTTCTTCTTGTATGTAGCAGATGAATATGCCTAGGCAAGTGAACTGCAAAATAGAAAAATAAATAAGGAAGATTTAAAAGTAAAAGCAGCCCTTGTTGAGGGACTAGTGAGAGAGAGTTTGAAAGCGTCTCTGGGAAAGTGAGGAGTGGGACTTCAAGTGGCTGGCATGTCCCAGTTGCAGATCCTTAAATTGCATTTACACATGTCCATAAAGAAACACCACATGCCCTAGTGAGAMTGCTGGGTGCACACCCTCTCCGCAACGTTCATATGTGGTATACATCAAAGAAAGCTTAACATTTCTAATTGACGTATGTACTTATTTATGGGATATGGTGTGATATTCAGTACATGTATACAATGCGTAATGATTAAATCAGGGTAATTAGCATTTTCATCTCCTCATTCCTTTGTGTTGGGAAGCTCAGTAAAAGATACCTTTGTATATTTAGTCATGTGAATTCTCTTCTATAAAAGGTACCATCCACTATTATCTTGCCTTTCAAGGCGATGTAGCTTCTTTATACAAAAGACAAAATGACATTTTAAAAAGCAGGTAATCCTAATAGAACAGATGGTAGGGGGTAATAAAGAMTTTGTTTTATAAGTGAATATTAAATTATTATTGTTACTAGAAATTAATAACAAATGATACAAATCAATACAAAAATGCAAATAGACAATAAAATAATAATAAATCGCAAAATTTAATTCTTTGCAGTAATGAAACTCATTGGCATTGGAAAACAAGGTTTGAGCTACTGGCCTTGGAATCTTAGATGAGATGTTTTCCCTCTCTGAGGCTTAGTTGTTTTTTTCTTTAGAAATGAGGATAATCCTGCCTACCCTGCTTATCTCACATGGAGATTAATAAAATCTGCACATTTGAAGAGCTTTAAAAATGACAAGGCACAGCCTGCATCTGATTGTTAATACATGGGGCCTGGGGAGTCTTAGGAGGGGGTCTGGGGATGGGCAGGGGTGGCAGGCCAAAGGCCTGAGCTCATGAGAAGACTGCGGTGCTTGCCGACTTGGGGAAAGGAAAGCAATTGAATGGTCCTCTTGATATTTTACATAGGAAAACCCCGATTACTGGTTATTTGTAATATTTATGCTACTGCGACTCACAGAATTAGATCAGAAGAAGATTAAAGTAGAAGAAAAGGTATGTAAATCATTATCATTTCATGTGTTTATGGGTTAATGTGTTAAAAAGCTTTCACTGTCTGCTGTAGGACCAGTATGATCAATCTTTGAGATGCAGACTAATATGTAAATTAATTCTTTACTTAGGGACTGTTTGCCTGTCCCAGGATCTGTCAGTCAAACCCTCTGTAGAGCTTGGCATCATCAAATGCAGGCTTCCCTTGGTCCAGTGGAAAGCTTAGCTATGAGAGGCAGAAAAGACACTCTTCTTATCTAGGCCACATTGTGGCAGATTAGCAGTTTGAAAACTATCCTGTTCGGAGAGGATACCATCCTATCTGGGTTACTTTAAATATTAATTTAATAACAAAATGGACTATAATGTCATCCTACTATATAATCAAAAGGTATTCAAATAAATAGCTTCTCTGATATTTTTAATCCTTTAATTCTGCTCTTTAAAAGAATGATTTATCTGGTCATACAATTCCAGAGCAGCCAGTCTTGAATGCTAACACCTGCCTCCCTCCCTACCATCACCAGAGTAGAGATCTCTACTAGTGAGGCCTTTCCCACATTGGATGTGAATTTGAGACAGGACTGAAGACAGGTGTCAATGGGTGGAGAGGCACGTATTCCATCTCAGATGTGCCTTTCTGTAATCTTGTCTAAAAATAGTTATAGATGGTCCCTATTATTATTCTCATGCTGAAAGGCACTTAGTAGATTTCTCTTTTCCTTTAATATTTTGCAAAAGGAATAAAATTTAAAATCATGATTAAATAAAAGTATGGCAGAGGAGACTGTTTGGAAGATGGTAAAGATGAGATAGGGAGCAGCTCATTAGGAAGAAAAGACCATATTTTCCAATGGAGAAAGCTCTAATAAAGGAGGAAGTTTGGGTAGAACGTGAGAGTGTGGAATAATTCTGGGTGAGATGGCATTAGAAAAAAATTCCCCAGCATCTACTGCTGTAATCTAGAACTACAAATTTATTATTCTTCTTGTACTAAAAATTGCAATCTTTGCCATGGTAAAAGCAAGCATAGACTTCAGAAGTCTTGTTTTTAATTTTTTTTTTTCCTTCTGCCCCTCCCAAACCCAGGGTACGAGATCAAAGGATTCTATTCAACATTTAAAAATAATTATCATTATTTAGATTTTAGGAACGCAAGAGTTGACATGAAAACTAATCACGGGCATGGGTTAGATTAGTTTGCATACCTGGTTGCATGTCTAGAATAATTCATTAAAGAAACTCCAAGCCCTGTCTTCATTTTAGAAACCAAACATTTTCCCTTTTACTTCTCTAATTCTGGAAAAGGTTTCAGCAGTGAATAAATATGACCCTCCCCCTGAAGTGGTCGCAGCCCAAGATCACCTGACTCACATTGTCAACAGCGTCCTGCAGCCACAGAGGATCTTTGACAGGTATTTATGTGGGCTCTCCAGGGTAGAACTCAGGATGGGCAAGCAGACGACAAGCTCATCCTTTTCCCCAGCCCTCTATTTTGCGACCCGTTCATTTCCTAGACATGTGACTTTCTCTGAGGGAAGGGGCAAGTGTTTTTTGATAGACCGTACTGTCTCAGTTATGGCCTATCATACTTCAGCCTGCTGCTCTCAAGCAGGGGGACCCACTGGTTCATCTTTACTCTTTCATCAGACCCCCTGTATGTCGGCTAGCCTGAGCCATATGACACCGAAATAAAAAAATAAAAAAGGGTTGTCAATTCTTCTGCCTTAGGATCAGAACCCAGTCCCCAGTCTCATTAACGGAAAATTGTGATCATTTATATCCATTGTAAATCTTTCCTTGGCTGTGAATTAATACTAAATACTCCTGCCACAGAGCCTTCTGTGAATTCAGATTATTAGGGAGTCCCTAGAAGGAAGCACAGCTAGCCTAAGGGAGACCTGAAATATCTTTCCTGAGTTGCAATCTACCCAGCAGGGAGGAGTCGCCCAGCTTGGTTGGGCGCATGAATAGAGTCTCTCACCTCTAAATTCCAAGACAGATTTACCATGGTTTCTCCATTTCTTTTTAAACAATCTGTTGGAGCAGATGGCCATTTATGCTGTAAGTATAATGCAGAAATTCTATCAATACCCAAAGGCATTTTAAAAATACTTGTAAAACTCTTGGGTATAAATGGCCTTTCTTGTGATATTTGTTTCTGTATTTCACATGGCTGGTTTCCCACAGAGAGCAAAATGTTTTATTTTGCAACCCAGGACATGATTTTTACGTGGAATTTAATAATGTGGACATTGACAGTGTCTGTGTGTATGGGAGCCCTCTAGCTGAAATGATCTATCGTTATTTGTACACATCTGGAAAAGCACATTTGATTTAAAAGGTGGGCATTTATGTCCTCATTGTATTTTTTTTCCAGTTTATAATATTACTACTTATTTCATGCTTTAGGGGACATTTATATAAAAACATGTATCAAAAATTTGCAGCATGTTTGATAAACATGTATTTCTTGATCATTTCTGACTGTCAGGAAAATAAGAGCCAAGGCCCAGCAGGTCGGATGTCCAGGATGGAGCAGTGTTCCCGGTGCTAGCTTAGCAGCTGGTGTACTGGCCCGCCTTTGCCCTTTCCACTGGGCGCCAGCACCAGAAGTCAGGCCTAGGAGGGGAGCCCTGACTCTTGGCCCTGGGAAATGAATGTTGCATTATCTGAGAATCCTTGTCCCCCTCTCCTGGCATGACCAGGGAGAAGATACCGTATTCAAATGACATGGCCAAACCTTGACTCTGGCCTGGTAGTCATTGGTAGCTTTCTTATTTGAAATGACAAACTTCCCCAGTCTTGTGCATGTCTTGTCCCAAATATGGAATTAGTCATTTTTCTATGAAGCGTCAGTGTTGGTGAGAAATGGTACTTCTCTGYCCTAAAATGGTGCTAAAGATACTCATAGCTTCTGGGTTGGTCATTGTTTCTAGGCTTTTTAGTGGAAAGAACTGGTAACAGCCTTTTTTTCCATTCATCCATCCATCTTTATCTGCACGTGTCCATCTACATCCATTCAATCCAACTGGGTCTCTCTATAGATGGCTGTATCTGTATGTACCTSTAGGTCCATGGGTTAAGTAACTTGTCAATTCAGAGCGATACTTAAAATTAAATTTCAAGACTACAGTTAAGCTTTCATTTCTTCTCCTTTCCATTACATCTGCATTTACTTTTCTCCCCCACCCATAATCCTGATTCTCAAGGACAGAGAGGAGCACAGAATGACAAAATCTCGTAATTACTCATTTTTAAAATTTTAAAATGCTATGGCCAATGAGTCCTGAAAGACATTGAAAGCATTTTTTTGCCTATGCTGCACCCATTTAACTTTGCCCCATTTTTTCTTGTGATAAAATATCTACTTTAACCATTTTTGCGTGTGTGTGTGTGTGTGTGTGTGTGTGTGTGTGTGTGTATGTGTGTGTGGTTGGTGCTGAGGATTAAACCCAGGGCCTTGTGCATGCAAGGCAAGCACTCTCCCAACTGAGATATATTCCCAGCTACTTGAACCATTTTTAAGCAGACAGTTCAGGGACCTAAATACTCACCATGTTGTGCAACCTTCACTCCCATCTATTCTCAAAATATTTTCATCACCCCAAACAGAAACTCTATACCCACTGAGCAGTAACTCCCCATTCTCCCCTTCTCCAGTCCCTAGAAATCGCTTACCTTCTTTCTGTCTCCATGAACTTGCCTACTCCATATATTTCCYAGAAGTATCAACAACCCCATTTTTMAAGTAGCATACTGCATATTTCTGGTTAGAACATACAGTTGCCACATACAGTACTTTCTCCTTCTTTGTTCTCATTTATTCGCTTTTAGTCTTAGTTCTCATGAGTCTTGAGCAACTACATATTTATTGCTCACTACCAGTCCTTTTACTGGTGTCTCTTGAGTCATTTGGGTTGTATGAGGCTTGTTTTCTAGTAGATTCCTTAGGAAGGACTGTGGGATCATTGTCCTTTGAGTTCTGGCATGTTGGTAACAGTTGTGCCCTTCACACTTGAAGGTCATTTCTGCTAAATATAAAATTGGTTACTCACAGTTTTTCCCTTGAATACATGGAAGATGTTACTCCACTTCGTTTTGGCATAAAACATTGCTGTCCAAATCTACTGTTTTCCTTTATAAGTCATGTGCTCTCTTTTTCTAGTTTAACCATGTTTTCCCTTTTTCTTTAAAGCCCAGTAATTTTACTCTATTGTATCTCGGTACTGGTCATTCTGGCTATCTATAGGTATAAAGTGTGTAGTTATCTGTTTTGTTTTGTAATGTCAGGAAAATTTTCTTGAATTCAAAGTCTTTACTATGTTTCCTATTCCTTTGTTTTCGTTGGTTCTTCAGGAGATCTTCTTTGTCTATTTTCAGCATTTGTCAATCCCTCTCAAATACATTTTTTCTCTTTAGACACTTTTCTAAAAGAAATGTATTTTGAGGTCATTATATATTCACATGCAATTATAAGAAACAATAGCAAGAAATTCTGTATACATTTCCCCCAATTTCCCCCAATTGTGATGTCTCACATAGCTTTGGTAGGGCATCAAACCCAGGAAATTGGCCCGGAAATTGGATTTCAGCAGCTGGGCCTGTCCTCCTGTGTGTCTTAACTATTTAGTTTGATGCAATTTTATCACCTGTAGATTCATCTGAGCACCACTGCAGCAACTACAGAGCAGTTTCATCACAAGGACTTCCACAGCCACAGTACCTCCCTCGCTCTCCCCTAGCAATCACTAATCTTTCCCCATCTCTGTAATGTCACTTCAAGAATGTTATGCCAGTGCAGTCATACAGCATAACTTTCAGGGATCCCCCCCCCAGTACAGTGCCTTAGAAATTCATCCAAGTTGTTGTATGTATCAATAATTCCTCTTTTTTAGTGCTGAGTAGTGTTCCACAGTACAGATGTATCACACAGTTTACCTGTTGGAGGAAATGTGGACTAATTCCGGCTTCTGGCCACTACTAATAAAGTCGCTGTGTACATAATGATCAGCCTTTTGCACGTGTGTGACAGCTGCAGCCTGGTGGCTGTGGGGTTCCCTGTCCTCAGATCTGCCCAGCTGTGCCCATTACTTCCTCCTCCCTCCTGCACAGACTCCAGCACACTGCAGCTTTTGTGGGTGTGTGTTTGTTTTGTTACACGGGTTTTCCGTGAGCCTTTGCTCTTACACTTGTCTGTATGTGGCCATTCAAAGAGATTAGAACAGGATGCTGCTTCACCATCGTCTTCACAGAATTTTCGTTGAACCCATACTTCAGTTGTGTATTTCAAACATTTTATTTTGTTCTGTACTTCTACGATTTGTTTCATGAGTCCAAACTGCTGTGCATGTCGCAGGAGATTTCATCGATAAATTCGGCCTTTAGTCCAGTCTTCATGTCCAGAAGCCAAACCTAGAGTCATTTATCAACTCTTCTTTCCTTTGAGCGAGTTTATTAACCTTTCTGCACTTCAGTTTCTTCGTGTGTTAGAGGGGAATGATGACAGTAACATCTTCCTTAGCTTCTTGTGATGATCGAATGAGGTGCTATGCTAGAATCACCTCCTAGAAACTCCTAGAATAGTGCCCAGCACAGAGACATTGCTCAGGTAAATTTCTGTCATTTCTATAAAGTCTGCTTTGCCTACCTGTGTTATGACTCAGTCTCCGAGGGCAGTCATTTCTTTCATTGACAAGTTCTGGAGGGAATATCTGAGCAATTAATAACTACTGTATCTTACCATATTTTTCCTTTAAAAAAGCTCAGTAAATTTACATAAATTTGTATTTTACCTAGTTAATAATGTATGCTTTGGATATTATTTTTGACATAATCAACTTGTTTCAGGCCCATCCTTCTGTTTATGTTTATAGTGTCTATGTATATAAGTGCTCATGCTTGTAATGGTGACATGGGGGCTTTTCCTAATGGAAGTAGTTAATATGCTGCAACTCTGTTAGGAGTAGGACAGTAATTCGCTCTGGTCCTGTGTCGCAGCACTCTTCCCAGTCTGGACGCACCTTATCCCATGTTGATACTTGCTGGTCCTCAAGCTTGCGGGAAACGAGAACTTGCTCACCGCCTCTGCAGACAGTTTAGTACTTACTTCAGATACGGGTAAGTGTGTTTATTGGCTTATAAGACTTGGAAATTCTTCCAAGTTGATGCAAGTATCAGTCGTTCCTTTCTACTCAGATCTCAGATATGGCTGATTTTGTCTATTAATTTTAAGCACCTTCATAAAAGTACATAATCAACTTTTTCATGTTATATTTACAGCAAAGCTAGAAGTGGTAAGTAAACTCAATGTTCCACAGACATGAACTCTTGGGAAGGACAGAGTACCCTGAGAGTGTAAGTTTTTGAAAGTAATTTTTTTTTTTTAATAAAATTGAATCAGTGTTGTGAGCTGATCTTGGAAAGACTAGGAATCTTGATTCTTATGCCATGCTAGTAGACGTGGTCGAGATGATTGTTAAAGCATACTTCCTAGTTATGGAACTTAACAAGTAGCAAGAAGATTTGGTCTTTTGTGAAACAGACAGTAAGCACATAGCAGGGACCACTCCCTGAAGCAATCAATCAGTGGTACATCCAGGCCATTAGATGCCTCTTCCATAAAAGGTCCACTGGCTTCTCTGCCATTTATTGTACTGTAGTATACATGTACTTTTAAAATTTTAATCCTCCAGATGTTTAACTTGATTCAATGCCAGCCCAAATCACTCTCCAGAGCTTGAGAGTGCTCTTCTTTATAACTGATCAGGATGGCGCTTGAAGGCAGGCTCCTCCCGTTGCCTCAAGGTGCAGCCGTGAATCACAGTGTTGGGTGGGCTGTGCTCGGGGGTCAGCAGCCCCAGCTTGCTCGCTTGGGACATGTGCTGGCAGCACGTGAGCTTGGTCTTCCTCTTCTGGGGCACCTTTCAGCAGCAACAAGGACAGAAAAGAGGCAGCAAAAACATCTCCTGTCCTTCCCTTTAGGTTAGCACTCAATAGACTCTCTTCTGGAGCAAATATTTGGTGACTGACTCCCTAATGGCCCAGTTAAAATAGAGGATATATCTCGAAAAACTAGAACCATCCAAGAAAACCATCCAGCTGGGTTTACGGATGTTTCAGAGGTTCCTGTGAATGCGATTTAGAATTGCTGCTATGGTCTTTCAGCAGTTTTCCTATTTATTTTTTATTATGGTAAAGAAATTACTTTTAGATTAGTGGTGTGTGTTGATGAGCTGAGGATGTGACTACAAAGATATATAGGACAGCAAGAAAAAATAAATGCAAACTTAGGCTCTTACAAAAAAATTCCTTCCTCTTAAGCTACACAAGTTCAAATAATGTAAATACTATTTTAAATAGGTCAACTTATTTAAATATTTTAAATTGCAATCTGCATCTCAACAACTTTAAGATATACATACTACAGAATGATTTGATTAATATATTTTAATATTCTAAAGTAACAAAATAAATTAAAAGCTAATATTAGAATTAAAAGCATAAAGTGTCATTATGAAGGTACTGAACCTGTCCTAAAAGATAAGTTGAACACAGTGAATGCAAAGTCAGACTGGGACAAARGGCATATGCTGGACTGTGGTGCTAATGTGCAAGTTTGGAACCTTTTAGGAAACCAAAGCGACCTAGGGAGCCAGGCTTTCTCTGATTCCTTTCACGTCTCTATACCAATTGTGTTGCCCAGAGCTTTGCATTTGTGATGTGCTGTTGCTGAAGCATGCTGGGTCCCTGTGTGCCTGGAGGGTTTGTTGACTACCATCAAGACTCTGGTCCTGTCACCCCCACATTCTTAGCTGGCTTGGCACCCCCAATTACTCATTTTCCCCAAATCTTGTATTTCCCTTGTTAGAATGCTTATCCTCCACATTTCGATTGATTTATTTAATGTTTGTTTTCTCTGCTTGTCTGCAAGCCCAATGTGGGTAGGGGCCATGTCAGCTTTGTTCACTGCTGAGTTCTCAGTGCTTAGCATATGGCCTGGCACTGTGTGTTAAATGACTGGGCGATACTTATCTGGCAGGGGAGATACCATGATCATGAAGGTGGTTTTCCCAGGGTGAGGCTTATCCATTGCACTCCGGATGTGCTGACCCCTGTGATTTCCCCAAAGGCGGGAACCTCTACTGCATAATTTGTGGTAGTGGGGGACTGCATTCACACTCTCAAAAAAAAAAAAAAAAAAAAGAAAAAAGAAATGAGTGGGTGAGTGAAAGGATGGCTTGATTCATAGTAATGTACCTAAGATTTAGTGGAAATGACTATGATAAAAAGCATAGATGACTTCCTAATAGATATGGAGAAATGGATGAGTTCATTCAATCAGGAGGTATTTTTTGAGTTTCTCCCATGTGATAACCCTGAAGATGGAGTGTTAACCAGACTGAGGAGGTCCATGTCTCCAGGAAATTTGTAGTCTGGTGGGGAACTCAGATAATTGGTATGATATAAAATTTGTGTGGCAGCACAAGATGGCAAAACAAAATCCTAAGATAAATTTCATGTCCTGTATTGCTGCCACTGTGATTGTTCTCCTCTCAATGGAATTAGTGGTGAGTGGAGAGACTCCTGGCTGCCCCCACCAACTCACTCACTCGCCTCCCTCCCAGGCTCATTGTCATCCTCCTGGAGGCAGAGACCAGGGCTTGTTCAGTGGCAAATCGTCCTAAGAATTTCATCAATGCCCAGATCAAAGACCACGTTATTGGATAAAAGAGGATATTATATGGCTAGCCATTTCCTCCATTGAGAAAGAAAGATAGCTCCACTATTATACACAGCAACTTTCTAATTAAAAGAAGGTAAAACCAAAGCACATCTTCAGGGGCAAGTCCTTTCTCTGGTTTAGATTTTCTTTTCTTTTATTCTTTATCCAACGTAAGTTTTATTGGTTTCTAATTAAACGAAAGCAGGCATGAATACAGTCTCGCTGTGAAACTTGAAAGCATTTGCAAAGGCACTCTCCCTGCCATTTGGCTTGAATCGTTTCTCTCCCTGTTATGTATTCCATTTTCTCCTGTATTTTACTTTCTTTTCAAATCACATTCACTCAAGATCAAGGTGTTCAGCAAAGTTTTCACAAGCTAAGTTGCATGTCCAGATAAACAAATAAAAAAMCATTCAGTCCCATAACAAACAGTGTGGATGAAGAGTCTGCTCTGGTCTTAGGTTTTAATGTTTGATTTTACTATTTGTTCTTGGTTTTAGAAATAAGTTGGATGTCTTTTCTTTACCTGTTTTAGTTATAGGTGGCCTGGAGATATTCGTTGGTTGCCTTCAAAGTCTGTCTATTTATTTCTGACTCTATATTGCCACACAAATCAGTGACTTCCTGGAAGAGTGCCAAATAATGAGGGTACCACAGAATAACGCCAGCAAGCCTGTTTATCTTCCAGATTTAAGACCACTTTAGTGATCTGAATAGTCTGGGAAGAAAAACTTTATTCTCCTTTACATCTCTATTTTATAGCAATCTCTATTTTCATAACCATTATAACCTTCTCATGGTGTTGACTACTAAATCTATTTTATTTTTACCATTATAATAAAGTAAAAGACCACAGCTCTTTCATTGCATGAGATGGTCTGAGGTATAGCAACGTAGATGCGGTTTCTAATCTAATGTGTCCATTTCTACAAATATAGCAAACTTGTAAAATGGCTCATTTATTCATTCGCTCYGTATTTGTTGAGCGCCATCCGTGTGTCATGTGTTGGTGATAAAGCTGAAACGAACAGACATGAGTCTTGTCCTCCTGGCAGTTTACGTTCAGTCTAGTACCTGGTTTAAATGGGAAATTCTCTTACAGGATGGTTTGATGGGTACTATTCTGGGGAAGTAAAGAGCCTCTAATAGAAGTGGAAGAGAGAGCGGGTGCTGGGCTGGCGTTGAGCTGCACCGCTGAGAACAGCAGGCGTGGTGCATTAACTGAGAGTACAGCTTGTGGCATGGCTAAGCCTGAGCTGTGAAGGACAGTGACAGAAGACAAGACGGGACAGACTGACGGAGGTCTGATCACAGAGGGTTTCTAAACAGTTCCCAGTTGTGTTTTGGAAAGCATACCCCGTGGGCAGTTTGGGACAGGACTCAGGAAAGGAAGGCTGGACCCAAGAAGACCAGCTAGAATATAGTGACAAATGACGACGGCAGGCATTCTAAGGTGGTGAGCAGCTACTGGAACATGGCAGAGTCGTGGCTTTTGTGGAATCTGACCCTCAGACACGGTGTGTGCTGGAATCCCTGCGCTCTTGGTCCCTAGAGTGTGTCCCATATTCATTGATGAATATTTGCATTGGATGTGAGGACCAGCGTAACTTACCTACCTGATGGATTTGGCTGGACACCTGGGCATTTGAGGGCGTACATTGGAAGTGCCCACTCACCAGCTCTACACAGGGTGTTCTAATGTGCTTGAATTCAGATGTGCTCCCAGCCAAGCCTCTGCCTAAACACTGGTAGCAGCAAGAAGTCATTATTTCCTGAGGCAGTCTGGTCCAGAATTAGATTCTAAATCTGCAGGCTTCTGAATCACACTGAAAAAAAAAAAAAAAAAAAAGAAGTCTACTTCCTCATCCACCTGSTAGCTCTTCTCAGACATCTGTTCTCCCCGTTAAATTTCCCTGGATACTTTCTTTTCCACTAATTTGGCCTGGCCATCCAGATGATTCTTTTCCTCCCTGGTCCCCTGCTTTCTGTGGTCTCCACGTCTGTCCTTAGAATGGCTAAGCTCAACCTTGGGCTTTCCCACCAGAGACACTGTCTGGGGTTAGTCCCACCTCAGTCCTTTCCTCTGTTAAGTGGAACTAACAAGAGTGCAGTTCCTGTTACGGACCACGACTTAGCCAGTAAATTAATCAGTAAATAACAAACCCATGGACATATTTAGGTGGAGGAGAGGAGGGATATTGAAAGCGATGGTCCAAGCGGATTTGTTTGTCTAAAATCTGGCATCATTTATTCAAAGTAAGTTTGGGAAACATGGCTTTCCCTGTGAAGTGTTTTCCTTGTAAGATGTTCACATTCGGGCTGCATGCTCTACAGTGAATGCTTATGTGTGTAAAAATTGGGTGACAGACACAAGCACCGCAGGTCATCAAGTGCTCCTCCAAAGAAAGTTCCGCCACAATCCTGTGGTGAGCATCCTCCACATCACTGCAGCCGGCYCTTTACCTGCCTGATGCTTCAAACGCTTCTTTGTTTTGTCTTCCTTTTAGAAACTCTGAAAAAAATCTGTGCAGCTCAATTTCTCTGTTGGGAAATATAAATCCAGCGTAGTGTTTGAACACTATGCTGAGGGTTTGTGGCACAGGGCGCAGGGCCACAGATTTATCTTCTCTGTCAGGGACACCAGTAGATGGAGGGTCTYGGGTCCCTGCCAAGCATGGGAAGAAACGCCAGCGCATTCGAACAACAGAACAAACGCCAAGGTGTTTTGACAGTCTCCTCCAAGAATGCACAGTCTTTCCCTAGTATACAATGGGAATATATTATTAGGATCTTAAAATTTCCTGGTATAGTTTGTTCTTCATTAAAATAGAAGAGGAGCAGTGCATGGATTTATTTATCTTTGCCTTTGAAATGGAGAGACTTTTGTGGTTTCGACTTTACCCTCTTCATTACTGTGATCTTAAAAAGAATTGATTTGGGATTGGGGATGTGGCTCAGCGGTAGYGCACTTACCCAGCACATGAGAGGCCCTGGCTTCAATCGTCAGCACCACATAATAATAAATAAATAAATAAAATAAAGGTACTGTGACCAACTACAACTATATATATATATTTTTTCAAAGAATTGATTTGGAGGTGTCCTGGCATTGCTGCTTAGCAAGGTTCATAGTGGCTGTGACTCAGTTTCACCATCTATAAAATAAAAATAGGAATACCTGCCTGATAGGTTTTGTGAGGGATCAATGTCAAGTGTCTAGCTGTTCACATCTCGTATTTTAAAATTACAGGCTAATCCAAAAATCCATTTGCATCCCCAAGCTTAACATTGGGAAGGTGGGGTGATAGGTAATCTAGGGTCTTGGGTAATTGGGACCATCATAGTCTAGTTCTGATACCCGCCTGCAGTGTGACCTAGGACAAGTCACTTTTATAATCATCCATACAATGGAGCTCTTCTTATGTACTTCACACATGCAAATTTTAATTCATTTTACAAACAATTAGGGCATACCTGCTGTGAGCCAGGCCTTGGGAATGCAGTGGCGAATATGCTGAGCCAGACAAATTCCGCCCCTCGTGATTTATATGTTCTGCTGGGGAAGAGAGGAAAATAATTGGGGTGTGGTGGGTGGGGGCCCTTTCAGGCAGGGGATAGAAAAGGTTGAGTTAAGGATTCCATTCAGCACTGGAATCAGTGCAGCACAGGGTGGATGAGAGGACTCTGTCTTCAAGTCAGGGTGCGGTGTGGGGGAGCCCCCCAAAGTACTGGGATGCAGTTGGCACAGGCTGAGGCTATGGGACAATAAAGAGGTGCATAATGCAGCCCTGGGAGGTGGGGAAGAGCACTGGGGGGGAGGGGGTGATGCTTAACCTAGTCCTGAAAACAAGTGTGCCAGGCACGTGGAGGGACAGGAGCGGGGCCTGCAGAACAGGCTACTAGAGCAGAGAGAACAGGAAAGCACTTGGGAGAGTAAAAATATCATCTTCAGAGGGGATGATCCAGTAAGTGACCAACAGCAGTGCGCAAAAAGTTGATCCCGATCATCCAAGATTCGTGTGATCCTTGAAGACTAGTGATTGAATGTAGCCTAGCACTTCAGAACCATGGTGTTTCCACAGTTCTATTGCTTTCTGATTTATGGATCAATTTCATTTTCAAAAACATTCTTTATACTGATATCTTATTCATTTTGAATTTAAAGTTAATGGAAATAGACTAGGTTACTTATTTTATGATTTCAGGGCCTGCCACACAACAAGACCACCTTACTTTGGAGAAGGGGATCGAGTTGACTATCATTTTATTTCTCAAGAAGTTTTTGATGAAATGCTGAACATGGTAAGACTGTTTTCCTTTGTTTTTAATTGTATAATGTCTGTTCTCCGTCGGAAATATTAGGAAATAGTGATTTGAAAGAAGAGAAAAATTTAATTTTGTGCTTGTTTTAAATCTGGTTCAATTTGTATCTTTCTGTTTTTGTTTGGACCAAAAAATCTGATGCTCTAGTCACTGGTGGTAGAGCATGACACTGTTGTGTTTTAGTTCATTGTCTTAAAAAGAGTGTACTCCTTCCCTCTTGGCCTTCCCATGCAAAGGGAATCCTCACAACCCTACTGTGTTTTATTTTTGAAAGTAAATACTTTCATACTCCACAGCCACCCGGGGCTTCAGTTAAACCGAGGGTGTGTCTTATCTTCATTACAACGAATGAATGTGTAAATCTATGTTGTTCTTATTTTTGTTTATATTATCATTCTTTCCTTGGCCAGTGACTCCTACACCACTTCTTATTTCTTCTAAAGTCTCCTGAAAAACTGAATGAGGGACCAATCTGTTTCTGCTTATGAAAAATCACCTTCCAGGAGCCTAGGAGAGCAGAGGAAGGGGAGGGAGGAGCAGAGGGCAGGGCTAGTACTGGAGGGAAATCTACCAAAGGATGCTACGATCATGTACAGAGAGGCCACATTGAATCCTGCTTATGTATAATTATAATGCATTAGTTAAAGTAATACTTACAGTAATAGAAGGGAGATGAGTAGAATAGAGCAGGCAGACCAGGAGGGGAGGAAAAAGGGGATGGATAATGATCAAGTTGTATTATACACATGTACAAATATGGCACAATAATTCCACTGGTATGTAAATCATAATGCACCAATTACAAAATAAAATTAAAATAAAATCACCTCCCAACCAGCACTACTGCTACAGCTACAGCCCTCCACCTCCTTTCCCCTCCTCTTTCCTCTGACTTCACCCCCAAATAATAGATCTGGCTCACACACCTGCAGTGTATAGAATCACACAGCTTCCATTAGTTTAATTTGAATGGCGCGTGTTTTCAGGACTTCTCTTACACTCAGAGAAACATGCGAGAAAGTCCTATCTCTACTGCAAGGGCAGCTTTCCCTCCAACCTTGTCCCAGAAATAGCTTGGACAGGGCTGGGGTTGTGGCTCCGTGGTACAGCGCTAGCCTAGCACATTCAAGGCTCTGAGTTCGATCCTCAGCACCACAGAAAAATAAATAAAATAAAGGTATTGTGTCCAGCTACAACTAAAAAAAAAAAATTTTTTTAAAGAAATATCATGGACATTATGATTTTCTCCCCTAGCCTGTATTTTGGCAGTATCATTTGATTTATTAAGAGAACTCTGGAATTTCATATTTCTCAGAGCTTTAATAGAGGAGTTTTAGTAAGAAGCGTACTCTTAGGACTCTAGGGTGAAAGACAGCTAGTTCCCTAAATTAATGCTAATGTCTCCTGTTGGAGGCATTTTTGCCTTAGTGCCGTTCACCTGTGCTCAGTACTCCAATGCTCTCCTGAGGTTCCATGATCATAGGTTTATGATCAAGTTGGTCTGGTTCCATTCCTAGCCTAAGAAACTCCTCTGCTGTATTTAGCCTTATAGTTTACTGCCTCTACAAAAATCCCTTGTGTTTGAGAATCACTCCTTTTTACTGTTTTTGCTATCTGCATTACTTCAATATAATGTAATTTTCTTCCACCTGAATTTTGCCTCTGATCTCCTTTTCTTTAACATGGGAGACTGTCTGATGAAGAGAGAGAAACCTAGAGATAATAAATTCATGACACATTGTCAGATGTGCCAACCAGGCCCCCATACTCTGCCCTGTGTACATAGGCCCCCTTTCCCCAGGTCCCCTTTGACAGACACCCTGGCATACCCCACCCCCACGCACCTATATGAGCAGTCACATCTATTTGCCGTGACAGGTACAACACAAGGGCCTGTGCACCCTCCTACATTTACATGCCTCCCCCAACAAACACCTGCCCAACCCATACGTCATTCCTACACGTGCGCGTTGACACATGAACCCTTTACCAGGAGCACACACAGTCGCTTACCCACAGACACTGCCCCTCTCTTGTGGAATCAAAACCACAGCCCTGGAGTATTTGGAAATAAAACGATTGCTACTTATTAGGTAATCCACATGCAGAAAGAAATGAGAGGAGTATCACCAACCCAAACTATGGGGCGGGGGGGACTACAACTCAATTCCTAACAAATCAGTCCAATGCAATCTCTTTTATATGCATCCACAACGCAACATTTCTCCCAACCCTACATCCTTCCAGAAAATGTTTTTGGGATCTGCAGAGGAAGGTCCTTGTACACACAAATGAATGAACTTATATATCTGAAAATAATCCAAATATGTACACATTTTGAAAATGGGGTAACAGGGTATTAGTCAGGGTTCTTCAGAGAACCAGAACCAGTAGTTGTGTGTATGTGTGTAGAAAGAGATTTAGTATAAGAAATGGGCTCACATGGTTATTGAGATTGGCAAAGCCAAATCTGTAATGTGGGTCAGCAGCCTGGAGACCCAGGAGAGTCAGAGGTGTAGGTGATGTGCAAAGACTGACCTTTATTTTCTGTGCAGGCCTTCAGCTAATTCAGAGAGACCCACCCACATTGTGGAGGGGAATCCCCTTCCTCCAAACGCAACAATTAAAATGTTAATCTCCTCCCCAACATTCTCCAAGTTGACACACAAAATTCACCATCACACACAGTAAACAGGATCCAGTATATGCCTAAAAGGAGAGCCGGGTACCTACCTATCTATCTATAAAGAATTTTTTTTTTTTTCAAAGAACAGAAAGTATGACATTGAAGGAGTAAAATTTTAAGGATATTTATTGTTGACTTTTTAACTTTAGAATCCATCACAGAACCTTCTTTTGATTGTGGGGGAGACAGATTTTCCTCATCATCTGCAGCAGACACATCCTCTAGAGACTCACCCAAGCCCTAGGGGCACCCTGTGTCTCCTGTCTAGTCCTGTCCCCTGAGACAGCCCTTTCCCCTTCCACCCATATCTCCAGAACACCTGGGGCCAGGAGGGAAGCAGTGGGCTCTTAATTGCTTGCTGTTCTTAATGGTGCTGCCATTCGATGGGATTCAGTGCAGCCCTGGAAGCTCTTGCTTCATTATTTATTTTAAGATGTGTGAGGTGTGAGATGTCACACATCCCAAGATTACCCACATTTTTATTCCTTCTGTTGTTACCAGCCTCCCAGTTTAGATGAATATTGTCCAGAAAAAAGTCACAGTTTTGCTCTCAAAATTGTATTTTTTTTTTTTTACTTCACTTGTATTTTTTGGAAAGGAATACAGCTGTCAGAGAAACCGATTTTCCAGAATGCAGAGAGAGGGCAGTATTTATAGTTCAAATGACTCTAGGGCAGGCAGCGATTTGGGGTAGTTTCAATAAAATGCTATCTTTATGAGGAAAACCAGGATGGGCCTATTTTTCAAAGCTTTTAGGATGTCACTGTAATTCATGGCCATTAGGAATYATCCATAACTCATGGCTTATCTTGGAATGCAAGGTTTTGGGGAATGGGAGTGTATTTTGGACTCCCTTGAATGCTGGCGTAGCTGAAATGGCGGCAGGAAAGGGCAAGCTATTAGTTTTGCTCACAATAGTGAAGGTTTGTGGTGTGGATTTGGCAGGAAGTGGGTAAGTACGCAAAATGGTCTGTCCGACCATAAACTCCAGTCCTTGATCCTTCTCTCTATGGATTATTTCCAAAAACCTATTTTTGGGTCAGCTAAGAATTCTGAATAAATTTCTCTATCACAAAGTTTGATATTAAGCTTCATAAACTCATTGTTAATTTGTCACTCTTACATATTTTCTCACATTCGGAAGTTTTATAGAATTATATAAAACTAAGACATCAAGTTATTTTACATATATTAAATTCTATTATGGCTACTTATACACACAAAATCTTTGTGCTTCTCAAATTCCAGGGGAAATTCATTCTAACATTTAATTATGGTAATCACAATTATGGATTAAATAGGGACACCGTAGAAGGTATCGCAAGAGATGGATTAGCAAGCTGTATTCATATGGAAATAGAAGTAAGTGTTATTTATTCAATCAATTGTGTGTGTGTGTGTGTGTGTGAGTGTGTGTGTGTGTTTGAGGTCGGGTCTACAGTGTGGGGCAGATAGCAAGCTGCCAGGCCCAAGAGAAATGCATGCCAAAGCGTGAGGTGTTCCATTTGTAAATAATAAGGAGGAGTCAGGTGCAAAGAGACAGCATTTTGATTAAAATACAAGAAATTGTACATGTAGTAGGAGGAAAATTACCACTCAAAATTTATTTTCTTTTATTTCCTCCCTATATTATTATTATTATTTTCTTTTTACAACTTGGTCTGTTTATACAAAGACATGTTAGATAAAGTCCAGTTACTGCCAAGTGTGGTCCTGGTTCCTCGCCCCCTCAGGACAATGGCAGCCCTGAGTGGTATCCCTTGTTCCTTGAGTCTCCGCAGACAGTTGGGCTGTGCATCTTGTGACTCCACATGTTCACCGGGTGTAGTATTTTTATACTTCCAGCAATTTAGGCTTTGCAAGTTTGACTTTTCTCTCTGCCTCCATATGCCATCTTTCCCCAACTATCTTCTCAAATTGGAGTATCCAGAAATTTTTTTTTTATAAAATTAAGATCCAGAGTTTAAAAAATATATAACTTCATTAAATACTTCTTCAAAGATAGTAATTTTTCTCAAGTTACTTCCATTGAGCAGTATAACACTTTTGTAATCAGGGGGCAAAAAATGGCTCAAGTAGACCAAACTTCCAGAAAACAAAGCGTAGGAAAGTCTGGAATTTTCTGTAGACTCTGAATCTTTTCTGTGTTTCCTTCTGTAACACCACAGACAAGAGACTGCAACTCCCTTTCAGCCCCTTGTATGCGTTTAAATGTTCCCTAGCTTCAGCAAAATCACTCCCATTTCTCCCACCTCTTAACTTTCTGCACAATCCTTGCATTCTTATCTTTCTGCAGTTGACTGGTTTTGTATCTTAAAGAGGGGTTTTCTTTGTTCCTATGCTAATTATTTTTTTAAAAAAGACCAGTTCTAAAAAAATTTTCTTCTTTGGACAAGACAGAAACAAAAACGAATGTGTTTTTGAGTGCAGAAATACTCCATCCTCTTTGTGTCTACCTTTTTCCACTTGAACAGTTATCTGAGTGATGGCTCCTGATTTACTTTTTCCTCCCTGAGAGCTTACTCCTACTCATTTCCAGAAGGTTGAGTCTATAAACCATGTTTTATTCCCTTGGTTCTCCCCAGCTGATGTATTTTTCCAAACTACTGCTGTCATTGACTCTTCCAGAAATTATTTAAAAAGAGCTTGGATTCCTTCCTACCAAAATTTTAAAACAAAGGTTTTGAACTTGAGTTCAACTGATGTTGATAGAATTGAGACGAAAGGGACTTTAAGATCCTTTGGGAATAATGTGTAGGGAGCTGGGGGCTTTGTGGGAGCTGTGGTCACAGCCAAGCTCGCTGGGTTCACAAACTGTACTGAGGCTGCCTTGTGCTGTGTTGAGCAGCTTACCCTGAGCTCAGTCTTCTGGGCTCTGGACAGAGCCTGTAGGATGTCACTGGAACTGGCCCACACAGGTGGCTGGCAGGAAAGGTCCCACAATGTATTGACAAGGGTGAAAAAGGAGCGTTCTCTTCGTAAGGGCTCTCTTCTGGTGCTATACGGATGCGTTTTTAAAGACAGAATTGAAATTACTTTACAGTAATAAAGTGAATTACCTATTTTATATCCAGCAATTTTCCTTTTTAGCAGTCATATTCATTAAAATGATTAATTAGAGAAAAACCAGGTGGAATGAATTCTATTTAATATTTCTAATGACAATTTAATATTTGATGAAGAGAGAAAAGTAATTGAATCTTGAAATATTTGTGGGAAAATAGTGGCTAATTCTACAGATAAATTCTTCAATGTAATACTACTTATTATACACTCTATTGTCAGATGTCTCCAGAATGATTTCTAAATCATGCCTATGTCTCCACCTTATTATCTTTTCTTTAAACGCCTAGGGTGTAAGAAGTTTGAAATACTCCTATTTTGAGCCTCGCTATATCTTGGTGGTGCCCATGAACAAGGAAAAATATGAGGGACATTTGCGAAGAAAAGGATTATTCAGTCGTGCAGAAATTGAATTTGCTGTCTCCAGAGTGGACCTTTATATTAAAATTAATCAGAAATTTCCAGGGTATTTTGATGCAGTAATCAATGCAGGTCAGTACTCTCAGCAGAGTTTTACTTTTGAAGTATGAGGTCACTAGGTTAGAGTCTGTTTTATGGAAATAAACTTCTGAATTGCAAAGAGCTGTTGAAAGGGGTAGGAATCCATGAGCTTTAACCTTCTATTCTTTTAATCAGAGTGTTTATTATTTTTATTAATCCTTCAGGTCTTAACTAATAAGATTTGGTGTGAAATGGACCCTAAAATAGGTTCCTTCCTAGGGGACATTGTGAGAACTAAGTTAGATAATACATCATTTGAAATACACATTTAAATTTTTAGGAAGGCAAATGATACCCAGACAATTTTATTATAATCTACCTCTAGTTAAAAACCCAACTACTGTAAATATCATAACCATTAAATATCCGTGGGAAACATTTTCAAATATTCCTTTAGACATGGCTATTTATTTGAAGTAAGAGAATTTCTCAAAATATAGATATTTCTATATGTTTTTATATGTTTTTTTTATATTTCTATATGTTTTATATAGCTATAAAAGAGAATGAGAAAACACTCTGTATGTAGCTAAAGAAATATCTTTAATCCATATTGTTTTTTTTAAAAGGCCAGGTTCATAACCTTACATATAGTATGCCATCATTTATGTTTAAAAAAAGAAATAAAAAGCATTATATAGTTGTATTTTCTATTTTTTTCTATATATTTTATATTTTCTTGTACTACATAAAAGTATACGGAAGAATCCTCAAGAAATTAATAACATTGATATCTTTTTAGAGGGAAACTGGATAGCGGGGACATTAAATTTAACTATATGAAATTGCCAGTTCACCTATTTCAACCTATGAGAACAATAATTTGATACGGTTTCACTTAATAGTTTAGCTCTCTGCAACCTGTTAATGAATTTCCTATGCATATTGGTCTTCTTTTGTTGAATAAGAATAATCACACTTACAACTTAAAAGCATGCCTGTTTACAGGCTCAGGTTCGGTAGGGGTCGGGTACGGCATGACTGTGTTCTCTGCCTGGGGTATCAGGGGTATCAGGAGGCTGAGGCAAAGGTGTCAGCTGGGCTGTGGTTTCATCTAAAGGCTCTGGGGGAAAACCCGCTCCAAAGTTCTTACTTGTTGGCCCAGTKCGGTCTCTTGGGGTTAAGGACCCTGTTTTCTTGGTGGCTGTCTGCCAGGGGCTGTCCTCATTCCCTAGAGCTGGCTCCCAGGTCCTATGCACGTGGTGTCCACCATCTACTAGCCAGCAACAGAACATGAAATCCTACCTGTGCTTTCAGTCTCCAGTTTTCTCTTCTGCCACCAGCCAGAGAATTCGCTCTCCTTTTGTAGACCTTCTGTGATTGCATGGAACCATGTGGATAACCTCCGTTTTGATGGGCTCAGACTCATGAGTAACCTTAATTACATCTGCAAAAAACCCTGTTTGCCATATAACATAATATAATCCTGGGAATGATGTCTCATTACCACCCTAGGTTCTGCCCACGCTTAAGGGAGGAGACCATACAAGGGYGAAGTTTCATCAGAGCCATCTTAAAATTCTGATACCACAATATATAAAACTAAACATAGTACCCAAATCAGTACCACCAGCAGTTGAGCACTAACTGTATTTTAACCTGATGCTGTGGCTTTAAAGTACTTATCTCATTGACCGTAGATGATCTGGAAGTTGCCTACCAAAGGCTGAGTGAGCTCATTAGAGAATACCTGGGATTGACTGAGGAACCTGCCACGAGCTTGGCTCCGACTGCAGGTACCATCCTATCTCTCTTGTGCGCCCATTTWAAAATTATTGTTATGGAAAAGAAAGCAAATCTTTGAGTTATTGTGTGCGTACCCATCAACCAGGTTGTAGCTGGTTCTAACTCTTTAATGCCTGTAGTTCTCCTGGGGTAATTGTTCCCACCAACTAGCTTTAAGGATTAGCACCCTGGATCTTAACTCTACTTGTCTCCATGACCACAATAGAACTCGGGGACTCACCTTCGGGAGAGTGGACAGCAGGTAAGGGTTAGCCTCATGGTTCAGATCTCAACTTCCAGAACTGTTTTCCCTTGTGGGCCTGAGGTGTTGTTCTACTCACCAGGTTGACATTTAGCCCCAGAGTTTCAGTCCAAGAGTTTCCTTTCCCCTTCAGATGGCCCCAGCCTTCAAGTGTTGTACTGCAGAATACAGGGGCAGGGCCCTAGCCAGGTGGCCCTCATCCTGGCTCTCTACTCCCCTGGGCAAGCTTCTTTGATGTTCTGAGTTTAGGTTTACTCTCTTGCTAAATGGATTTCTTGTTCCCCTCATTCCTGCTCGATCATCAGCAGCAAATGATGTAAGACATAATATAAGAGGGCATCTCCTTGGAATTTAGGAATTTGAAAGCCCTCTCTTAGAATTTCTCTTAGAAGTGTTGGTGAGGATGTGCACTGTTGGTGGGAATGTAAAACGGTGCAGCTGTTTTGGAGATAGCATGGTGGTTCCCCATAAAAATTAAAAATAGAACTACCAAGCCAGGCACAGGGCACACATCTGTAATCCTAGTGGCTGAGGCAGGAGGATCACGTGTTCAAAGCCAGCTTCAGCAACAGCAAGGTACTAAGCAACTCAGTGAGACCCTGTCTCTAAATAAAATACAAAAAAGGGCTGCAGATATGGCTCTGTGGTCTAGCACCCCTGAGTTCAATGCCTGGTACTCAGAAAAAGAAATAGACTACCATATGATCCAGCAATTCCACTTGCAGATATATRCCCCAAACAATTGAAAGCAAGAGCATGAAGAGATAGTTACACCTCCTTGYTTATAGAAGCATTTACTTTAGCCAAAAGATGGAAGCAGATGAAGTGCCCATGGACAGATGAATGGATAAACAAAATGTGCTGTATACCTACAGTGGAATATTATTCAGTCTTCAAAAGGAAAGAAAYTCTGATACATGCTACAATATGAATGAACTTTGAAGATATGGAAGTAAATAAGCCAGTTAGGAAAAAGCAAATGCTATATGATTCTACTAATGTGAGGTACTTAGGGTAGTCAGATTCATAGGGATACAAAGAAGGGTGGTTGGCAGGGCTGAGGGAAGGGGAGAAAGGAGTGTTATTATTTAACATGTCCAGAGTTTCCACTGGGGAGATGAAGAGAGTTCTGAAGAAAGAGGATGGTGTTGGTTTAACAACAATGTGAATGTACTTAGTGCCACTGAGCCGTAGGCCAAAAACTGGTTAAAATGCTAAATTTTATGTGTGTTTTACTACAATCAGTATTGTTTTTAAGATGTCCCTTGTGGGGTGCAGTGGTGCATGCCTGTAAACCTAGTGGCTTGGGAGGCTGAGGCAGGAGGATCACAAGTTCAAAGCTAGCCTCAGCAATTTAGTGAGGCCCTAAGCAACTTAGCAAGACTCTGTCTCAAGATAAAATATAAAAAGGGCTGGGGATGTGGCTCAGTGGTTAACCACCCCTGGGTTCCATGCCCCCAGAACATTAAAAAAAAAAAAAAAGGCCCTTCAATGGACTGAACTTTATTCATAGGTCACGTTTTGCAAAATGTTAAACTGAGGCTCTTGCCACTTTGTAGATGCTGTGCAGCTTTGTGGTTACACCTCCGTGACTCTTGCCCAAACATGATTTTGTTTGACTGATTGCATTCTGGCAGGCTGAGGGAGGCCAGGACATGATTTTGCCAGAGTTCAAACCAACTGTGCCATTTTGCACTTTGCATGCTTTCCCCCGGTCACGTGCCCCTAGTATTTTGGAATGAGGTCACTATGAAACTGGGAAAAATCAACAGAAAACAGATGAGAATTTTCTTTTACATATGTATAGGAGATAAAGTGACCAAAGCATGACCTGCTGCCCGAGAAGTATATGAAGAAAGTTTGACCTGTCTAAAAATTAACGGAGGCAGTAATGGAGAACTGGAAGGCTGGGTTCCATCTACAAAGTGGGAGGTGGGGATATTAAATCAGGAGCATGTCGGCATATCTAACCAACCCTRATCGATTCTCTACATCAAGCACTAGTTCTTTACAAAGCCATGGCCTTTAGGGTACCTAATGAGGCTTCCATAGGCCACAGAACTTTCTCTTGAGGAAATCTGGATCCTGTTGCTTTGGTTCTGGGCTATCCCAGCAACCTGTGATCTTTAATTTGGTCCCCAGAGTAGACTGTTCCTGTGGGGACTATGCCTTACGTTAGCGTACCCTCCCCTGATCCCCAAGCTGGGTCCATCTCCCACTGTAAATTAATAAATTGGTATGCTGGCTTTCATGTTAGTCTCTTGTGATTTTAAAAACACAAGTCAGTCCCCTGAGGCTGACCAGTTCTGCGTAACTGAGAAATGTGCATTTCTGTATGGGTGCCTCTGAACAGAGGCGTATGAGGAAAGCAGCTTCCACATCTGGCAGGATTCCCTCTGTATTTTGTGTTTTCCTTATTCTACAATGATAAGGAACACTGATTATTGGGTGCATTTGCCATTTGGCAAATTAATAGACTAGATAATGTGTTCATAGGAAAATGGACTCCCTTTTTAAAGGGTATAATTAAATTGTATTTGTTTGGACTAATTAGGTTAGGCCTGTCTGATTTAATGAAAGGTACGAATTACAGAATTTGTAAAAATGTTACCACTCTCAGATACATTTAATAACTGAAACCCAGCCATCCAGTTATTGACTATCAGAATTCTAGCTTGAAGAAGTAGACGGGAGAGATTGCAATTAATATATAAGATCCCTAGCTTCAATAGAACTTTGCTTTTCTAAGGCAGGTTTAATATTTTGGAAAAGATTGTATTTTCTTAAGCTGAGATTGTATTTCCTTATTTATATAGTTAATTTGTGGAGGGAGCTATGTTTTTTTAGTTGACATTAATTTTAAGGATAAACTTGCACATAAAGTGAAACTGTAGAGACCAGACATTATTCAACGGAGTATTTAAAAAATCCTAACAGCCACAATCCTTATTAATAAGCTTTTATGGCATCTCCAATGGCCCAAGAATTAGGACCAGTGGCTCAGTTAAGGACTGTGAAGTCCACACCAAGGGAAAAGGGCCAGATAAGAATGAAACTCAGTGTAAGAAAACAGTTTACAACTATAGTTCCCTAAATGAATGGTCAAAAATGCCTGAGAAAGGGTCTTGACCCAGTAAGCCACTGTCCTGGGCCTGGTTGGTACTCACATCTTTGCCTCTGCACTAAACTAGGTACTCTAACTTAAAGTTCTACAGTTTAGGTACATTTACAAAACACATTACTTATCTAAATGAGATTTAGATAAGTAATAATAATGGACTGGAATTATTTTTTGGTTAGTGGAGTTGTCCAAGGAAAGAAATTGAAATAAAAAAATTTAAAAGATTCTGTGAAATACTGGTCTGAGCAATTAGAAAACTGTACTGAAAATAAGAAGTCTCACATTTTTATTCTAGATTTATCCAGTAATCATTAATATGATTTAAGAAATTATTTTGAAAATAATTATTTTCTTAAGAAAACTGTATATAATTTTATGGCCATTATTAGAATTTGGCCTTCCAAAGCTGAGGTTTTTCCCAGTTGAATTAGACCATCTATGTATTTAGGCTTCAGTACAAACAGAAATCTTATAGTCAAACAGYATTGTCTTTCTAAAAGAGGTAATCCTGTGTCAATGCAAACTAAAGATAATTCCCAAATATTTGAAGTTACATAGCTTTATCTTTAGTGATTGCATGCTGCTAATTTGTAACTGAGAATGCAACTATAATGTCTGCTTTTAAAAATGGGAGTGAAACAAAGAGATGGAAAGTAAGCCAGGGGCTATCATTTCTGAGTACAGCATCTGTCAGCCTAGACCTAGAAATGTGAACCTTTACCAGTGGATAGTTAGTTGAATTTTTATTTAATGCATGTGTGAAATAGTAGCTTTAGGTCCAGATGATAAACCCTTGAAATATTTAGGTGTCCAATTAATATACAGTATTGCAGTTTGTGTATAGAATTATCTTGGTTTTTTTCMTTATAATAAGACAAATAATATTTGTCTCTAAAGCCCAAAGACCTAAAAAAGTTGATTAAACACTACCTTTTCTATAAAATCAAGAAATACTATATTCTCAACCCAGGGTGAGGKATGTCTTGCCCTCCATTTGTCTGGAGACAGCCTATTTCTAGGTGGTTGGTGCTTCCAATAAAGCTTTTAGAAAGCCGAACCAACTATCATCCTGAGTTTTTGCTAAAAAGATCATGAAATGAAATTCTATTTGCAAATCATTATGAAGAATTCTGACTAATGGTAGAAGAAAATGATGATGGTAATGATGAGTCAAACAGAGGAAAACTGAGCAATTTACTGGCCTGCAAAGTGGTGCCCTTATCGTTAATGAAGGGCATGGAATCATTTGCCAAATTATGTGAATTCCTAAGTTGTAAAAGTAGGAAAAGAAATTCTGTATGTCTGACTATAGGAAACCAAGAGGATTAAGGAGGGAAAAAAACCTTTAGCAGCAGGTTTTACTGTTCTTGTATTTTTCTCCCTTTAAATTACCTTTTTAATTGAATACATCTATATACACACATATGTATATAAACCATATATGTTTTATTATGTACATATTACATGTATGTATATATATGTATTTATATATGTAGAATTACTTAACTGTTAAATTAATTGGCCTTAATAGCATTCCTAATGTTGTATGGCCGTCACCACTTCCTATGTCTAGATATTGCTAAATTTTCCATTACCCAAAACAGARACTCTATACCCACTAAACAATA